GCGGAGGCGGGTGTGGGTTTCAGGGCACTGCCTCCAGGGGTGGAGAAACCCCTCACCCGCCCAAGCCATGAGCTGTGCACCGCCCTCCTGGCTCTTTCCCCTGCCCTGTGCCAGATGCCGGCCAGCAGGAGGATGTTTATGGAGATAGTAAATGGGCTGGCAGCGCCTTCCAAACGGGGGCCGGCACATACCCGCCAGCCTGCCCGGCGGCTGCAGGCTGACTCGTGGTTAAAGATTATCCAGCGCTCCGGATGTGAGAATCTAAACAAACAAGACTCGGGCTGATGGCAGGCCCTGCTTCAAAGGAGCCCCTTGCCTGCCTCCGAGAACCCTGCACCAGTGCCCAGGCCCTGCCTGGTTACCCTGCACTGGCTGGCAACAGTGGGAGGGCCCGCTGGGACTCGGGACAAGAGCTGGCCCCAGTGCCCCCCGCCTGGCCCCCTCCTCCTCTCCCGTCCGTCCTTGCTCCTCACTGGCCTTTCGCAAACTGTTCTCTAGGCATTGGCAAGCGCAGTTTCCCACCCAAGAGTGCCTCGTTCTGTCTGTCAGTCCAAACCCTCTTGTCCTCCAGGGCCCAGGTCAGATCTTGTTTCTTCCAAGATGCTGTCTCTGACTCACTCTGAAAGAGCAAGGGCTTTATCCTAAAAGGGATATTTGTCCTAAAGAAGGAAAAGCTCAGAGGGGACCCCAAGCAGTGGATATAGGACATGTATGGATCCATGCAAGGAGAGTTTTTCTAACAGCGATAGCTGTTCAAAGATAGGGGCTAGATAGCCTTGGGAGGTGGTGAACTTCTTGGCCTCAGGGGCATTCTAGCCAAGGCTGGGTGAAAGCTTGGCAGAGATAATAGATTTCCTCATTCTCCTCTAAGGTCCTGTCTAAACTGAGACACTAAGAATTTTGTAACAAAATTGTATTCAAATATTTTTATGCCTCCAAGCTTCAGTTCTCCCAAGGGCTATTGGCTCCCCAGGGCCCGGGTCCTGGCTTCTCCTGGCTGGGCACACAGGGGTTTGGTGAGTGGGTGCCCTGAGTGCCAGCCTGAGGGGAGGAAACCCCTGGCCCAGCCCTCCCTGCCCTTTGCCAGGCCCGGTTTTTTGTGCCCTGGCCCAGAGGATATGCAGAGCCACCCCCAGGCACCAAATTAGGCAGGAGCTGAAGACCAACAAATTCCTTCCTGAAAGAGGGGACACAAGAGGGAGCCAGCCTAGCAGCTTCTTCCAAGGCCTTGTGTCGCCCCTCCAGCCACCATAAACACCTCCAAAGTGGGCAATCACGTGTCCCAGGCACAGACCACATAACTTGTTGCTTCCAAAGGTGGGGCCACCCTCCTGTTTGGGGTTGCAGGTTGCCAGTCTAGTTTTTCCAAGCTGCACCCAGGGCGTGGTCCTGGGCTGAAGTTGGTCCCATGGTGTTTTCCCCTGGCTCTGCAGGCCCAGACCCTTCCCTAGCCTTCGACTTGATGTCGGTTCACTCAGCTGTGACCTTTGCTGTCCCTTCTGTGGAGGGCGCTCTGACCAGCTCCTCGATCTCGAGTTTCATCTATTTCAGGGCCCCGGCACAGCTGGGCACACTGACGGGATGGTTATTTTGGAGCTTGCTGGCGGCCTGCCCCTGCTCCTGACCCCAAGGGTGGAAGGGATGGGAGAGAAGACGTACTTGGGCTGCACGCTGGCCCCAGGGACTCCATTTTTAGCTGGTTCCCAGCCTCTCCTGGACCTCCTCTCCCAACTCCTGTGATATTTTAAGCAAGGCCCAGAGGGTCCTTTTCCTACCCCTTCTCCTCTCTCTCCATCCTCCAATGTTTTTCCCCTCTTCTCCTTTCTCCTCTAATCTCCACTTGTAACTTCTCCTTCCTAGCCTTTAGTCAGCGATATCATTCAATGATCATGTCCTGGGTGCCCATCATGACTGATATAAAGTCCTACTTTAGGTTCAAAAAGTTAATTGTCTGAGTGCAGGTGGACCTGACTTTGGTTGGCAGACTCAACCTGAGCAAATACTAATTTCTGAAGTTATCAGGTACCCAGGTGCCAGGGGCTTCCCACTCTACCTCTGATCCTGGCAACAACATCACCAGGCAGGTATTATTACCCCTGTCCTCTAGGTGAGCGATCTGAGGCTGGGAGGAAAGTTGCTTACCCCAGGCCACCAGCCAAGGGCTGGATTGGACGTTTCAACCCAGGCCTGTATCCCTCCAAAGCCCATGCAGTTCCTTCTGAGCCATCTGGCATGTAAACGAAAATAACAATGGCTCATAGTAAGCTAGTGATTACTATGTGCCAGGTCCTCTACTGGTGCCCTATGTGTCTTATTCCACTTTATCTTCACAGCATTCCTTCTGAGGGGAATATTAGAATACAGATTTTATAGCAGTCTGTAAATGCTGATTTCACTGCTGAAGAAGAGAGGCCCAGAGAAGTTAAGCTATTTGTCCAAGGTCATACAGCCAGGAAATGGCAGAGCCAGGATTTGAACCCAAGCTTGACTTCAAAGTCCTTGGATTTAACTGTACTCCTATCTTGCCTACCAGTATATGGATTTTGGTTACTGAAAAACCTAAAATCCTCTTCGGTTGCATTATTAAAAGTATAGTGTATGTATCACGGGAGGTGATGGCCCACTGTGCCTTGAGCTGGCCGGGGCCCATGTGGAATATTGAGTCTGAATCTGTTCATTGTGGGAATGTGTGTGGGGAGTCTGAGTATTTCCTGAGGAGAGCTGTCTTCAGTATGGGGCTGAGGTAGTGGGCATAAATACAGGGAGGTGGATTGCAGTTTAAGAGAAGGAAACACTTTCTTAAAGACGGAGTAGTTCAACAATGGCACAGGCTGCCTGGGAGGTAGTGAGCACCCAGTAGTGGGTATATTCAATGGAAGAGGACTCCTGAAGGGATGGAGACCAGGGTAGCTCACATGCAGCCCCGTTCAGAAATCTGTTCTGAGCGTCTGCCCAGCCCCGTGGGTCTGGACTGCTTGCCCTGAGGGTGTGTGTGGAGGGGGTGGGGAGAGGCGTGTGGGGGTGCATATGTGTGGGGTCCCTGTGACAGCCTTGGTTCTGTAGGCTCTGGCTGGGCATCTCTGAGCAGTTTGTTTCCTCCTCACCCTGCTGTCCCCATCCCTTCCCCTCTGTCTCCAACCCTTTGGCGTTCTCAAGGGCCAGTGTCTGGAATCCCTGAGGGCTGGGGGAGCAGGGGCTGTTCTCCGGAGTCCAGGTCAGCACACAGCCCTCCCCGGGTCCCCACTATTGTCTCTAGTGCCTCCCCCTCCTGCTCGGGCCCTCCTTGCCTCTGCCACTCTGCAGCCCCCCAGCCTCTCTGCATCATCGCTGTCACAGAGTCAATTCCCTGGAATAATCGCATTTTCCGGTCGGCTCCCTCCTCCTTGCCAAGCATGATCCTGGGAAATCCCAACCAGCCGGGCCCCAAGAGCCTTCTCCAGAGAGGCAGGGAGGGCGGGGAGGGCCCGACACCGTCTCCACGCCTAACAGGAAGGCTTTAGAGATCGTCTCTAGAGTCAGCTGGGGCTGAATTCTGGCCTCTGCTGCCCAAACCAGTCCAGTTCCCAAAGCCTTGCTCTCACACGGAGCATCCCTGCCATCTTTACCCAGTTCCTGGAGAGAAGGCACAGGTTCTCCCTTGGGGAGGCTCAGAGAAAAGGCTCCTGGGGAAAGACTGGCCCATGATGTGGCCTACTAGCCAAATTTGGGGACTCCCACAGAAGGAGTTCAATAAACAAGGAGGGCCTGAAAGCGAAGAATGTGTTGTGGGGGTTGGACAGACGGTGCTTTAATCCTGGATCTGCCCCTTGGTGCTGTTACATAACATCTCTGAGCTTTATCTGTACAATGGGAGCACCTCCATGGGATGCTTGGAGGATGAAATGCAGGGGTAATTTGTTGCGCATGATGACTTTTATTATAAATTATAGGGCTCCATAAAGCACGACATAACACAGCCATTAGAAAATATGGTGTTAGAAACACGGTTATTGGCGTGGAAAGGTGTTCGGGACATAGTAAGTGGAAAAGCTTGTTTTGAAAAGGAAACCTGTACAGCAGAGTTCTTGGCCTGGAGTCCATGCCCATGGAGGGCTTTATGCGATTCACGGATACCCTGAAATTATCCCTAGAATTTAGGGAGAAGGTGCATTTTTCTGAGGAGACAGGTCAAAGTTATCACATTATCAAAGGAATTTGTTATGCATAAAAGGTTAGAAACTAGTGGTGTTTAAATAGCATGATTCAATTTTTGCATTAAAAAAAGTAACGGAAAAATATATTGAAGAGAGGCTGGGAGGTGATACATCCAAATATTAATATTATTTTTCTCTGCATGGTGGGCTGACAGGCGATGACTTTTTCTTTTTACTGAACTCTCTTTTCTACAAAATACAGCCTGTATTACTCGTATGATTAAAAAGTGGAAGGGTTCGATTTCCAGTCAAGTCATTTTCAAAAGGATATCTGGGATAAATTTACTTCTCTCAGCCTCAGTGTCCTATGGCAATGATAACCTCAAAAGGGAAGCGTTAGGCTAAGATGAGACAAATGTATGCAAAGAGGAGTTCTGGGGAGAGGGGTCCCCTCTGGCCTCCAGAGGGGTAGGATGTCATTAGCGCATTCAACAAATATTTATGGCTGTCTGCTAAGTGCTGGGTGCTGTTCTAGCTGCTGGGGAGAAAGAGGGAGGGCCCCAGGCGTTAAATTAAAAAAAAAATGATAACCATACCATTTAGAAGCAATCAGGTTTTTAATTTCGGTGTCTTTCCTTCCATCCTTAACCCTTCGCTTAAACAAATAATTAGATGTCTTGCAAAACTTGGTTTCCCGATTTTGCTCGTTAATTTATGTCCTAAGCATTTTCTAAGCCCTTAAAAATCTCCTAAGTATTTTCACGGTGCACGCTTTCAAGACTGGCGGAGGAAGAGCCCGGGCCCCGGGGACTGACCCCGGTGTGGCCCGCGTGACGGTGGCCCTGTCTCTCCCCTCCCCGGCCGCAGACAGCGAGCTGGTGCTCCCGGACTGCCTGCGGCCGCGCTCCTTCACCGCCCTGCGGCGGCCGTCGCTGCGGCGCGAGGCCGACGACGCGCGCCTCTCCGTGAGCCTGTGCGACCTCAACGTGCCGGGCGCCGACGGCGACGAGGCCGCGCCGGCCGCCGGCTGCCCCATCCCGCAGAACTCGCTCAACTCGCAGCACAGCCGCGCGCTGCCCGCCCAGCTCGACGGCGACCTGCGCTTCCACGCGCTGCGCGCGGGCGCGCACGTCCGCATCCTGGATGAGCAGACGGTGGCGCGCCTGGAGCACGGGCGCGACGAGCGCGCGCTCGTCTTCACCAGCAGGCCCGTGCGCGTGGCCGAGACCATCTTCGTCAAGGTCACGCGCTCGGGCGGCGCGCGGCCTGGCGCGCTCTCCTTCGGGGTCACCACGTGTGACCCCGGCACGCTGCGGCCCGCCGACCTGCCCTTCAGCCCCGAGGCCCTGGTGGACCGCAAGGAGTTCTGGGCCGTGTGCCGCGTGCCCGGGCCCCTGCACAGCGGCGACATCCTGGGCCTGGTGGTCAACGCCGAGGGCGAGCTGCACCTCAGCCACAACGGCGCCGCGGCCGGCATGCACCTGTGCGTGGACGCCTCGCAGCCGCTCTGGATGCTCTTCGGCCTGCACGGGGCCGTCACGCAGATCCGCATCCTTGGTGAGTGCTGCTGGCGACGGGCCGGCCTCCCCACGACGGCACCCTCCTCCAGACCCAGCGTCGTGCCTTTCCTGGAAGAGGGGGCCCACCCACCGCACCCCCTCAGGTGGTCTTGCCCAGGAGTTACAGACACCAAAGATGAGTGTGGGTGGGACCCCATCGTCTGGTCTGTGGTCCTCACCAGATGCACCCCGGGGAGGGGGAGAAAAGCGTGGATTGTTGAGTTTCACCCTCAGAATCTGATTAACCCACATTCCTATAGGTACATAAACAGCGCAGGGGCACACACCCCAGTGGCCATTAAAAATGAGAAAAAATTGTTTCCACCAGCAGTTAACTTTTTGAGGCTCAGTTTCCATTTCTGCAAAATGGGAATAAAGTCCTCTGCCTCTAAGGATGGTGGTGTGTCTAAATAAGAAAAAGAGGTTGGTCTGTCAGTAGCCAGTTATCTGTGCAGGGAGTGCATGGGTTGGGGGCCTGTGGGGAAGCCCTGAGCAGAGGGCCTTGCAGGAAATGGGGTTGCAGAGGTCTGGGCCTGCCTTTCCTGGGTTTGAATTGACTGACTATGAATGGATTGGAGGATGTGTACTTGTATAAGCTGTATTTCCCAGAGTGTTCTGCAGGATAGGTGTACACTGAAAAAGGGTCCTTGGGTCAAAAAAGTTTGGGAAATACTGAGTTAAAAAAAAGCGGGGGATTCTTTACTGCAGAACTTCCAAGTATGTAGTAGGTAGTGTGAATCTTTAAGGAGGGGGTGGTGGTGGTTATTCTGTACAGCTTTTCCAAACTAATTTCACTAGAAATATTTTTTTCACAAAGCATCTCCAGGGCTTCTGGTACCCCAGAATGATCAGGTATTCATACTTTCCAAGTGCTGGTCTGTTAACCAGCTACAGTAGACAGAGCTGGTTTCTTTTCTTTCTTCTTTTTCTTCTTCTTTTTTTTTTTTGGTGAGGAAGATTGGCCTTGAGCTAACATCTATTGCCAGTCTTTCTGTTTTGTTCAGGAAGATTGGCTCTAGCTAACATCTGTGCCCATCTTCCTCCATTTTGTATGTGGGACGCTGCCACAGCCTGGCTTGATGAGTGGTGTGTTGGTCCACACCCGGGATTCAAACCTGTGAACCCCGGGCCGCCGAAGCAGAGCACGCGAACTCAACCACTACGCCACCAGGCTGGCCCCCAGAGCTGGTTTCTTTGGACTCACTTGGAGAACCTACTAAAGTGCAGATTCTTGAATCTCACCTCCAGAGATTTTGATTCTGTAGATCTTAGATAGGTCCTGGGTATCTGAATTTTTTTAGCAAGTTTGCTTAGACAAGTTTGGAGACCCCTGAGCCTCAGAGCCCCCTGCCTAGACCTTACCCCAAGGTAAGGAGGCTTCACAGACAAGATAATGTGTGTCTGTGAGTGAGCACGGGTTATGATGTAAGGTTGGCATACTGTGTTTGGTGCATGTGAGTGACTAAATGCCTGTGTATTTGTGTGTGTAATGCTGTTGGTGATTGTGAGAGTTTGTGAAATCAGAGAAAATCAGTGGGGACTTCCCACTCTGCAAAGAGACCAAATGAAGATGGAGTGAAAAATAAATTTAAAAAAGAATGAAAAGAAATGGGGCTGGGGTGCGGAGTAAGAAGTTAGGATTGAGTGAAGAGAAATCAGGAAGGAATGAAAAGAAATCAGGCTAGAGGAAAAGACATCAGGAAGGAAAGAAGTGCGGGTGAAAATTCAGCATCAAATAAAAAGAAATCGGACTGGGGTGCAGAAAAAAAATCAGGCTGAGGTAAAAAGATACTTGGCTACACTCACCAGGAGAGGCTGCTCCTCAGGTGAAGGAACTTGCATAAGGGCAGACACTGTCTTGCCTCAGCATCATCTAATAATGGATAAGTAGCTTTCCAACGAGGCTTCTGTTGCCCAAAGAGGCTTATTGGACTGGAGCAAAGGAGACGCTTAAAAAAAAATCAGGATTTAAATGTCCCAAGAGGTAAGTGGGCCAAGGTGATGGTTGAAGAATAATCATCCAGAATTCAGTATGTGCTCAACAGAGTGCTCTTGAGCTGTTTGGAGAATTGGGCATCTCAACCAGCAAATCAGTGTGAGGGGATCTTGAGTGACTCCCAAAAAACAAACCAGTGACAGTGTGTGAAGGGTAATTACTTAGCTTATAGAAGAATGCTTTGCTTTGTTGAAGGCCTCGGTGAACTAAGAATGGAAGGATATTTCCTTCACTCCAAAACTACAGCTGATTTCATATTTAATGATGAAACACTAGAAAATTCTCATTAAAGTCAGAAATATGGTAGAGATGCTGTATAGTCTTGTTCTGAAAATGCTAGCCAGTGCAATACAGCAAGAAAAGCAAATAGGAGGTATGAACTTCTGAAGGAAGGAGATGATAATTAACTTGAAAACTGTTAACACTAATCAGAGAAGCCCTGTGGACATCTAATGAATATTCTTGGGAACAGTGACTAGTAAATGAGTTAGAATGAATAGTAATATAAAGGTCTCATTGAGTACCTACTTGCGTATAGGGCATTATGTTAGGGCCTGTGGGAGGGTCACAGGTGAATAAGATTTCCTGCTCTTGGGAAGCTCATGGTTTAACTGGGGAAACAAAGCTGCATTCCTGGGCAGAGAACAAATAATACCCCAGGCTCCTGTGGTGGTTTAGTCCCATGTATGTGATGTGTGTGGCTGGGCAGTGCTCATAGAGTAATGTGATGGGGACGTCAAGACTGCCCAGAGGAGGGGCTTTGAGGACAGCCCCAAGAGGCTCCTGGACAGTCAGCTCTTTGGGGACAGGGGCTCTGGTGGTCTCGTTCCTGGTTTTATGTATACACAGTGCCTGGTACCTGCTAGGCCCTCAGCAAGGACTTGTTGAAAGGAGGAGGGAGGGAAGGAAGGAGAGAGAAAGAGTGTAGGACAGAACAAGCGTGGGAGATGGCGAAGGGCATTTCAGAGGTGCCAACGCAGAGAAGGTGGGTGATGTCTGGGGACAGTGACAGAGAGTACAGGGCTCTGAACAGGGGGGTGAGGGTAGGGCTTGAAGAGCCGTGCTAGGCGGAGGAAGGCGATTTTGTTCTCTGGCCTGGGAAACCTTGAAGGTGAAGGATGCCAGGGGGCAGGTGGAGGTGGGATTCTAGGCAGGGGGCTTGTTTGGAGACTGCTTATGTTGTAACCCCAGAGCACGATGTGGCCTTCCGATTTGTAGGCGGGAACAGAGAGCTGGGGCCGGCGCTGAGCCAGCCTGTGGAATCCTGCCCTGAGCCTAGTGGCTGGGCTGTGTGGTCAGGCTGTGGCACCCACTTTCTCTCCTGGGAATCTGCTGCAGGGGCAGAGACTCGAGCTTTCTCCCAGTGGGCCTCTGAGTGGCTAGCGTCTCCCTCCCCCCGCCCCGCCCGCAGGCTCCACCATCCTGGCAGAGCGGGGCATGCCGTCACTCCCCTGCTCCCCTGCCTCCACGCCAACCTCGCCCAGCACCCTGGGCAGCTGCCTCTCCGACCCCTTGCTCAGCACGTGCAGCTCCGGACCTCTGGGTAGCTCTGCTAGCGGTAAGTAGGCTGGCCTCTCCAGTTACATGGTGTCCCTGCTGAGACCCCCCAGTGGAGTCAGGCATGCAGCCTCTGTATCAAGGCTGGGACCCCAGAGGAGCTGGAGCAGGCTCAGCGGACCCTTGTTGGGTGGTGATTTCTGGGGTGTATCCCATCCTGTCCCCTACTGGGCAGCTTTCTCCAAAGGACTTTTTTAGCACACGGAACACCCGAAGGTAGCTCAGGAGGGGCCTGCCTTCACAGATTTGGGGCCCGCTTCCTTCCTCCAGTCCTCCTCCTTCTGTCACTGCCTCATGGACGCCCTGGCCTCGGGTCTGCCCAGAGCACATCCTCTTCTCTCTCGTGCCCAGGAAGTTGGGTCGTCAGGGTAAAGAGGCAGATCCCGATAAATGGAGGGCAAGACAAGAGGCCGGGGGGCTCTCTTCCCATGAACCTGGGGCTGGGCTGGGCCATGTCTCCCCCTGACTGGTATCCCCTTGCCCCCAGGGACGGCCCCCAACTCGCCAGTGAGCCTGCCAGAGTCGCCAGTGAGCCCAGGCACGGGCCAGTGGAGCGATGAGTGCACCATCTGCTATGAGCATGTGGTGGACACGGTCATCTACACGTGTGGCCACATGTGCCTCTGCTACGCCTGCGGTCTGCGCCTCAAGAAGGCCTTGCACGCCTGCTGCCCCATCTGCCGCCGCCCCATTAAGGACATCATCAAGACCTACCGCAGCTCCTAGCCCGCTGCGGCGCCCCACTCTGCACGCCCGCCTCCTCAGGCTGCAGCCCAGCTCCAGCTGAGGGGCAGGCCAACAGGGACCCTTCTCTTCGTCCTCATTTTGGAAACTCTTCTCTTCTCATTAAAGCTGGGAAACTGAGGCCCTGGAAGGTTTGGGGCGAAAGGAGGTATCTGGCGGGGAGGTGGGAGCAGAAGCAAATCACCTGGCAGAGGGGAGGGGAGGAGTCCACATCCTCCCCGTGTTTCCCTTCTCTGCACCCAGCTCTTCCCTGCCTGCTGAGGGGCTAAACTGGGGTCTCAGCCTGTCTTAATCCTTCCCTATCTCGGGCAGGGTTCTAGGAGGTCCCTTGAGCCTGTGTAGCACCTCTGTGAGAATTAGAAAACGTGTCCCTTCCTCTGGGCAGATGTGGCCCTGAGCCAGGGTGTGTGTCTTGGTTAGTAGACTGGACTTCAGCCTCCATTTGCTTCCTCAGCCAACTTCCCTTGAGCAGTGTACAACCTGCTCAACAGCAGCCCTGGGCAGGCAGCCCCTGAGCTGCTGCCTTACTCTCTGACCTATACCCACCTCCTTCCTCTCTTCCCTGCCCCGTGGGCCTGGCAGTCAGGGGTAAGGCCAGTGGGTATGTCTCACCCTGGGCAGGCTGCAGCCTCCATGCCATGTCCCTCTCCCACTGACCTGGGACCGGTGGACAGACAGGCTGCAGATAGTTCCAGGCTCTGGGTCCCTGGCCCTGTGCCCCGGCTGAGATGTGGAGGGCTCCTTTCTGGCCATAGCCTTTCTGCCCTAGTCATCTCGCTGGGTGCTTCTGCCCAGACACAGCCCCCTTGGTGTGGGCTGGAGAGCGGGACCTGTTTTCTGTCAGAGTCTCTAAGAACAGGTTTGCATCTACCCTCTGTGACTTGTCCTCCCACATCTCAGTGCTGTCCTGGGCCTGGCTGTTGCTCAGAGAGGCTGTAGCATCCCCAGGAGAGGCCATGGCCCTGGGTTGGGGGCAGAGCGTGGTTCCCTGGGGTAAGATCAGCCTTTTTCCTCATTTTTATTTATTTATTTATTTGGTTTGTTGTTTTTTGGAGAGGGGGTGAGTTCCCAACCCCCAGGCACCTAGAAATGCTGCCCTAGTGTGCAGGATGCCTGGTGAGAGGGGCCAGCAGAGGTAGTCGTCACTCAGAATCTTCTAGATTCTAGCCCAAAAGTCGATAGCCAGCTCTGCTTATCATGGATTAGAACTCCATAAATGGGGGCTGAGTTGGGGGGCCGCCTGGCAAATTGTGTCCATTTTACAGAGAGGCAAACCAAGCTTCCTTAAGGCCCCAGCGCTGGTGGATCACCCAGAGCCACAAAATGCCCTTCATCCCTGGGTGGAACAGGGTTATAGTTGGCTCAGATAGATCAGGAGGCCCAGGAGTTCCCCCTCCTCAAGGGCATAAAAAGTTCTGGGAAGGCTGAGGGAGGGGAGCCAGCTTGGGCAGAGCACACGGCTGGGGGCTCCTAGTCGTAGTAGGGGCAGGGAGCCTGTTCTTAGGAACGGCTCTCCCCCAGGAAAGATGGGCAGAGCAGGTTCCAGCACCTCGGGTTCTTCCTGGTTCTGGGGTGAGGGAGTGCCCCTCACCTGCTCTTAGGTTACAGTCGTCTCAGCCCTGCCCACCCTTCCTGATAGGCCACAGGCTGGAGCCAGCTGTCCAAGGCTTGGCCTGGTCTCCCCAGAACCTCCCAGCCCTCTGCCCCCTCAGATGGCTTGTGTCCATCAGAGACTGCTTCTCCCTTTGGCTGGCAGAGCATGGGATTCCACACCTGCCTGCTGACCAGTTGTGTGGCCCTGGCCAGGTCACAGCCCCTCTGAGCCTCAGCTGCCACCTCTGTAAAATGATTGTTTGGGGAGGGGGGCAGACTTTGTATGTGACTCTTGGGAGTTCCTTGGTGAGGGCTGCTATGGGGTGGGGTGATGGGACAGCACTGTGGGTCAGGATGCCAGGCTGGGCCTTAGTCTGCCCCTGCCTTGCTGTGGGCCTTTGGGAAGTCATGATTCCACTATGGGTCTCTATTCCCCAGTCGCTGACCCCAGAGACCCCTGCTGTGGGAGTGGGCTGGAGCCGGGCAGGTGGTGGCCCCATCTAGTCAGGGTCGCAATCTCAGAGGCAAGGAAAGGTCTTCAGTGCAGGGGCTGCGTGGCCTGAGGGTCGGGAAGAGGAAGCCATCTGTTCCATTGTCTCTGTTAGTGCGGGAGTAGTTGCTGCCTCTTTGTGAACTTGGGTCGCTGTGATTGTGAATAAAGGTGATTTCGTACCAGCCTGAGGGCTGTGCTGTGCAGTGTGGAGGGTGTGGGGGTGGGGGGCAGTGTGCATGTGCGTGTGTGTGTGTGTGTGTGTGTTGGGGGGTGGGGGGTCGGGTGAAGCATCAGGTCTGGATACAGAGGGGAGTCAACAGAGAACACTCCCTGGAGTAGGGGGCTGGAGCATGACCTGGTGCTTGGACAGCAGGGGCTGGAATACCAGGTGAGCCTTTTAAGTTGAGAGGGAGAAGCCACTGCCCTTTGGTGGCCTCAGATCCCTGGGTCTGTGAGGAGCAGTGTTGGGGTAGGAGCAGCAGGAGTCCATGAGGCCTGCTCTGCTTCCTCTTGAGGCTGAGCTGGGCCCAAACCTGGCCGGCAACCCTTGTGGGGTGGCAGTGCCACCTAGGGGCTAATGAGAGGATGACAGGTCCTCCACTCAGGTCAGCAGGGGCTGTGCTGAGCTCCCCAAGAACAGGGCCTTCCCACCCCTCACCCCAGGCCCAGACCCCTGCCTCTGGCTGGGAGCTCAGCTGCGCTGCCACTGGTGAGTGCAGAGGGCTTTACCAAATGGGTGGCACAGCTGGGCAGAAAAGGGAGGCCTCTGACCAGAGACCTTTAAAGAAACTTTCTAGATGTGCTGAGTACCTCCAGCTGGCTGCAGAAGCTGGGGGTGGCAGAGGGGGTCTGGGTACAATGCAATCATGCTCATTTGGCCAGCAGGGCCTCAGAAGCACACGGGATGCCTGCCTTCCTGCCCTCTCTCCTGGGAGGACACTCTGGCTGCCCAGCCTCTGCCTGGCTTTGAACGGCCATGGGCTGCTCCCTACATCAGGACGGCCCAGCCCTGCTTGGTGGAGTCCAGCAAAAGTCGGGGAGGGTCAGGTGGAGTCCAGCAAAAGTGGGGGAGGGTCAGGGCTTCCAAGATGAAGGACCAGCCAGGCCCGCGGGATGTGCATCTTCGGCCCCAGGATCTGCGTCTCTCTCTCTCAACTGCCCAGAAGCCTTCCTAAGGCAGAGAGCAGGGAGGAGCTTGAGCACAATTCTCACTAACAATGGGGGGAACTTCCCTGTCTCCCCACCCCTCCAGTGTCCTCAGAGGGCCCCCATCCTGCATTCGGGATAATGTGGCTTTTGCCATCCATTCAGCTGGATGGGTTTTCTGGTGGTAGGGAGAATCAAGGGGAGATTCTGTTCAGTTAAAAAGGCCAAAAAACTTTATTTAGTTTTCAGGGAAATACAAGATGCATGTAAACATAAACAAAATACAAAACAAAACAACCCAAATCTTACAGTCTAGAAGCATGCCAAGACAGAATATCTTCTGCAGACCAAAGAGTCCCGTCAAAATGATGGATACCTGGAAAGTGGCAGGCCAGGGGGCTAGGTCCCTTCCCCAAGGACACTGCATTTTTGTGATGAGAACAATTAAAAAAAAAAAAATACCTACTATTAAAAATATTAGAAACATGGAGATAGTTTAGCACCACCATTGACCCTGGAAATTTGTTAGCACTCAAATTGACCCCACTGAATTCAATGTCCTTTTCTTCTGTTTCTCTGCTGAGGAGGGAAGAGTGAACAACCTCCTCCTGACCCCACAGAGCCCACTAGGAGCTGGGAGGGGGTGAGTGGACACCATGGGGAATTCTGCGAAGTTCTGGAACCCCAGAGACATCCAGCAGTTCCCGTGCAACCATGCAGTCTACAAACCCACGCTTCAGAGACCTGCTGCTCACATCGGCCTCACTTGGGTCACCTTCCTGCAGACCTCTCAGTAACCGGCAGTGAAACCCTTTCCCATCCTGTCCTGGGTTTAAAGAAAACCTGCTGCAGAGAACAAGTTGCAGATTCAAGACTGGCGGCTCTGTTTACCCTTCTCTGAAATAAACGCCTAAGAGCAGTGTGCCTTGGTCATAGGCCACTAAATATGAAAGGGCATAGCCACAGACGAGTGTGCACTGCACCCCGTCTCCTAAGTCACGCCAGTGAGGCAGGCTCAGCAAACTGAATAACCACAGGTACCATGAGAGATACTCGAGAACAAGTAGTGTCAACAGACGAACACGTGAAGGTGCCTTCCTCCCAGATATGCTTGATGACATCTGGACCCCGAGGTTCCAGTTGGGGCTGGTGGGCCCCTACTGCCTGATCCATCACGGCAACTGGGCTCTAACTGATTCAAGCAATTTGAGAAGCTAGCTCTGGATTGGACAAAGGGAGGTGGGCAAAACCAGCTGGGAACCTGGGCAACAGATGAATGTTCTGGAGCCAGGGCCTCTAAACTCTAAGATCTGTTTGTTGCTGGTAACTTCCCCCCTCTACTAAGTAAATCAGTGGCCACTAAGCACCGGCTGAGGACCCAGTTTGTGGCCTAGCAAGTAGCTATTTTCTCGGGCTAGCTGCTTCTATGGCCAAATCTTGGGGTTTTTCCAACCCGCTCTGGCTGGACTCTTGGGTGTTGAATCACTAAATTCCCTCCCCACCTGCTCTCTTCTTCCTGAAACACTCAGAATTGACTTTGTCCTTCTTTCTAATAAAGACAAAACTCGACTCCAAACCCTCTCAGCCATCTCACACTTTTCCCTTTCTGCCTAGAAGACATCCTCTTCTGGAAGCCACCTTCCCAGGGAAGGGACGGTAAGCCCCAGCCACCCCAAACATGCACACACATCTCACCGACGTGCTTCTCGCTCGCCTCCAACATGCTCTATCCATCCTTTTGCTCTAAGACGACAATGCTTCCTCTCCCTCTCTCTTTCCCCCCTCCTGAGGTCCAGCCCATTAGCCAGGGTAGAACTGGGAGCAAAAGAGGGACCTTCAGTGCAGAGACTCATTCTCTAAGGCCACTAAGTTCTAGGACTGGGATGGGAGAGGGAGCTGATTGTCAAGGTCAAGTGCAAACTCAAGATTAAAAAAAATAGGATTGGGGAAGGGGGATCACATGGTAATCCCAACCTTATAGGCAAGTTGGGATCAAGGCCTTGGAGGATAGAGCTCTCTACTCAGTCTATAGGCACCAGCGTGCCCAACCTCTGGCCTGGGGACAAAACAGGAGGGAAGCTAAAATCAGTGGGGCTGTTTTTCCTAAAACGAGGAAGCTATAGGTCACTGACCCCATCCTGTCACTGATCATAGAGCTTGAGAACCACAGAGGCTGCCCCAAACAGGGATCATGATTTAGGAAAAAGCTCAGTACGGTTAAGAGGGAGCCCTCCACACAATTCCCATGACGTGTTCAGTCGGGGCCTGCAGTCCAGACCAGAGGGGCTGATGCATATGCACGTGGTCTGTGGAGCTCACCAGGAGCCAGTGCTCGCCCTGGCCAGCCCGACCACCCTCAGCAACACAAGAACGGAGGGCCGGCAGCTCTTTTATTATATGGGGATTCCCAGTGATGACATGCATGGCAGTGGGCCGCAGTCAGCCCGCTAGATGACACACCTGCAGGTGGTGACCCAATTTAACCACCTTGGCGCTTGCACACCCAGCGGCATCTCTTTTCAACATCTTCATTTTGGAGGCTGGGATGATGGCCTAGGCTGCTTCTGCTAGATCTGTTAATGCCAGTGTGAAGTTTCCAACTAAATAATAAAATAATTACAAAAAAAAAAATACACATTGCACTCTCCAGCCAGAATAATGTGTGTGAATAGCACACATACTTGCTGCCAGAAGCTGCGAGTCCCATGGGGCCTGCCCAATGCCAAGGACTTGTTCAATGGAGACAGCTTGCCCGGTATTTTTTTCTCTAACCCCGTGTTATTTAGTTCAAGTGGGAAATCACCAACACTCACACATGGGCACACGTGCTCATACACAAGTGCACGCACGCACACACACACTTTCTCAACACACAGCCCTCAAAAAAGTGAGGGAATCTTAATTCTTTAGCGATGTGGATGGTTCTCTTTCCAGAGAGCTCTGCATCGAGATTCTCAGAGATTGGACATATAGACTTGTACACTCCAAGGAGACACACACACGGGCGTACGGTCCCTCTGGGCACTTAGATCCATATTTGTACAGAAATTCACCAAACAGAGGGGTTGGAGCAGCAAGCGTACAGTACTGGAAGAGGGGACAAGCCCGCAAGGACGTCCTGTAGCACTGAGGGCTTGGACCCAGAGACTCCCCACCCTGCTGCTTTCTTGACCAGCACCAAGTTCAGAGGAGGCCGGCTTGTACCTGTTGTGGGAAGTTCTGTCTGCAGAGACCTGAGTGGGTCCTCAGACGCATCTCTGAGACCCTCTGGGGACTGCCGGGGTGCTGAGCAGAGGCAGGGCTCCCTCCTCAGGCTGGAGTCATTGAGATGAATGGGTGGCCCAGGCTCAGCCCCAGGCCCAGCTGCAGGCTTGTGGGAACTGATGTCTCACTGGGGTATGCAGGGCTCAAGGCACCCACATCCCCAAAAAAAGGATTTGGTTATATCTAGGGTTCCTGCCCATAAACAGAACTGAGGTTACATAGTTTTAGAAAGACTCAAACATACATCAAAAGGATCATGGCCCAAACGTCAGGAGACTGGGGTGAGAGAGGGCTGCTGAGAGTGATTTTTAGGACAGGTCTTTGTGAGCAGCTGGCTGAAAAACAACGGAAATGAAAACAAGGAACGATTTCTGGATGTCCTTGCTCTGCTCCGAGGGCTGGGGCCCCGGGAGGTCAAGAGCCCCATGTCACTTCCCTGAACCCCCTTCTTCTGGGTGGATGACATCCAAGAGAGAAAGGGGCTGCCCTCTGATGGGGACCCCTGCCATCTTGCCAGGGAAGGGGAGGGGAAGGAGGGGTAAAAGATCAACCCAGGAGGTCACCTGTCAGGTCCAGACGGGGCCACTGGGTCTCCCTACTGTCCCAACAAGCCCTGGCATCCCTCTTGATAATATTGCACTTTTCCTGTCTCTCAGATTGTTTTCATTTTCGATTGAGAATGCAAAGTATTTGGAGGGAGTAGGGGAAGTGAGTAACCTTCAAGAAATAATATATTAGTTAAATACAAAAACAGGAAAAGTAGGGGTTACTTTATCTTTTTTTTCCCTTAAAAACAAAACGAACTACCAAACCAAAGTCTAAACTTAAATAGTTCTACGCCTACTCTGCAAGTACTAGTAATATGAAAATAATGCTTGACCGAAATTCCCTTGTCTTTTTTCCTTAGATGATAAAAGTAGTAACATGCCTTGCTGAGGAAAGCAATGGATATAAATGCCAGTAAAATATGCTGCTCTAACATCTGAAAGTGATTAAAACGATTCTATATAATGCCTTCGTCAAGATGGAGAATTGAGGAGGAAGAAAGAGAAGTCTGTGAGGCCAGGCTGCGGGTGGATGGGGCTGAGGCCTGGCAAGGCAAGGCCCGGCCAGAGCCAGGGGCAGATGGCACACCTGCTGTTCAGGAGTGCCCCTTCCAGCTCCCTCTTGCTGCCCCCAGGGTCCCCTGGCTTAGTGGGAACAGCATGGTGGGGCCGGGGAGCCCGGCCAGGCCCGCCGTTACGAAATGGGAGAGAGATGAAGACATTTTTTTCCCTTGTAATAAAAAAGTCTTTAAACTTAAAGAAAAAGCACCAAATGATGCATCTTCGGGCATTATATAAACCTCAATAATGACCTCAGAAGGGCTCATTATGATTAAAGTTGCAGTATACAGCAATACAATGTCATTTCACATTTTCAATCACAACTAATGGAAAACTAGGTTTGGACACTGCTGAGATTCCATTTTTCTTTTTCCTTTTTTAGTCCAATCTGGTTTTCCTCCAGATGGGTCAGAGCCACAGGTCCCTCCCTCCTCCCCTGGCTGCCGGCAGTACCCTCCAACATCACAAAGCAGTTCAGTAGCTCTAGGGAAAGGCCCTCTTGCCCTGGGTAGGGCTAGGAGTCCAGGGGCATGAGGCCTGGCACCCCCCGGCCATGTGTGAGAGGGACTGGTGTGCACCCTTCTTGCTTCAAGTATTAATATTCTCTTTGGGTTTGCAGGGTTTGTGCTGTGCTGTGAGTTAGGGGGTGATGGTGAGGGGCGAGGGGCGAAGATGAGGCATGGCAATCCCTGTTCACTGCCCAAATCTATATGCTGTCACCAGGTGGCAGCATTCCCCACTTTTCCTGGATGCCTGAGCAACTCCCAGCCATCCTTAGGGCTGGATGTCACAATGTAAACATGATGACCACACAATAAACTATAACGGGGGTGGGGAGGAGTGCAAGGATTGATGCAGTGCAGAGGTCTGCCATTAACTAGCTATGTGATTTGGGGAGTCATTTCCTGTCCTTGGGCTGCAGTAACAGGAGGGGATGGGATGGAGCGACCTTTGAGGTCACTTTTAATGACTCTATCACTTAGAGCACTGGGGATCAAGGAGGGAGGGTCCTTAAGGGGCTGGGAGAATGTGGGCCTCATGGGTGGTGGAGAGCCCCACGGGGCAGTGCAGACAGTGAGGAAGGACAGGGAAAGGCAGGCTCTGGGGAGCACTGTGGTCCAGTCCGACTGAGATGCTCTGTGCTTGGCAGATGCGTCCTGCACTCCTTTCTGGCCTGGCTGGCACGTTGCTGATTGAACTGGCTCAGTGCAGACATTGAGGAGCGAGGCCGCTGGGGCCCTCCCCCTGGAAGATAGCTACATGGAAGGTCCTTTAACCTGACAGGCACTCTACTTTTAAATTTTATTTTAAATAATCATAAATTACTTTTTTTTTCTTTTAATAAATATGTGCTGCTTAAAAATGAGAAAAGTATATACTGCATCTTTAAGTAATGCACTTTGCTCTCTGGGTTTCTTTCCATTCCACCTTATTAAAGTGCATTAATTAAAAAATAATGAACCACTTCTTTATCATTATTGTTCAAATAAGTCCAAATAATATTAATATGAAGACACTAAACCACTACCATTAGTACTGCAATCTAGCAGATTAACTCAACATCCTGCTCTATTTAATACTGTCCAGCAGAAGAAAATAACTAATTTCAATTTTAAACAAACTCACAAACAAAACAAAAGGAAACAAAATCTCACCACGGCCCTTCAACAAAGAACACGAGCAGTCTGCTATAGCTGCCAGGCATCAGTGTATGGCGAGGGAGGAGGGCTGGGGGAGATACCCAGTCAAGGCCTTGGGGGTCCAGGGGCGGGTGGGGTACTGCAGCACGAGACACTGAGTCCTGTGCTCATATTTAGGCAACATATACTGCCTGGTGGGGAGCAAGGGTGGAGGGCCTTTCCTCCTTTGTAGAAAACACCAACCCTCAGTCCAGGATTCTGGCAGCTGAATCGGTGGCTGTGAAGCCTGATCTGTCCGCAATCAAAGGCACATGTGGAAAACCACTCCCAGCAAACGGTGAGTCCTTGGGGAAGCCAGTTCAGCTTCTGGAGGGTCCTCTCTGAAACGTCAACAGTCAAAGACAACCCAAAATTGACAGGAACTTTATTCTCGCTCCTCTCTCCGTGGGGGCACTGCCCCTTGGGAAGACCGGGCTGGCTCCCGGCCCAGGGATCTCCCATCTTCTCGGGCACCTGTGGCATCGCTTGCAGGCTGGGGGGCAGCTGGTGCTGTTTGCCCAGCTGGCGTCTCATCAGCCCAGGGTGAGGGTGATGGCTGCTTCTCCACAGTAGGCGCGGAAGGCTTTCGGCCCTGCTCAGGTGGGAGAATGGATGCAGAACGGCGGTCACCCTGCAGCCCGGGGGCTGCCTTCTCTCCTGAACAACACACTCCTCCCTCCTGGGGAGGGTTCTGCCCGGCTGAGGGTGGGCAAGAACCAGAAGAGCAGTGTCTCTGCTTTGCCGTGTTTGGGACTTGGGGCTTCCCCAGCCCCCGATCCCTCCAGCAAGGGCCATGCTCAGGTACTGTCCACACAGTGGAAACCAAATGAAGCGACTTTGCCTTGTGAAGGGGAAGAAGGTGAAACACAGACGAAACTACCTCCCCACGAGTGTACGACAGAAACATCCCCATCCACTACCCATCCTGTTCCTGTGAGGCTGACCATCTTCAGGCCCCCAAACAACCCCTAAAATAAGACCAAAACCCAAGGCCCGACATAGAAGCCCCAAATCAATAAACCTTTCCCAAAACATGCAAAGGAACTGCCCATCCAGAAATACCCAAAATAAAGTCCGTGAAGAGACTCACGGCTTTGCCCACCCTCTCTGTAAACTCTGGGGCTGGTGGTCCTTTGTGGGGTGCCCTGGGCAGGGCGGGCTCTCTCCTCAAGGCCAGGGGCAGTGACAGCTAAGAAAGGTGGTCCTTGCTGGCACCTGGGCAACTACTTTTTCTTCAATTAACAGACACTGAACAGCAGCCTGGTCTAGGGACGGGCTGAGCCCACAGGAGATGCCTCCAAGCCCCAGAGCTGGTGGTGTCTTCCACCACACCCCCCCGTGGCAGGCGGTGGCCATGCCTGGGAAACCAGCACAATTCACAAATACAGATTAGGACGATATGAGAGCTACCTCTGCTGGCAAGATGCCAGCAATCACAACTGGGCTAGGCATGGGCAGGGCACGGGAGGCCCCTACAACCACATCTTTTCCAGATTTGCAGCCAAGGCACAATTCAGGGTTTCCCACATGACCTGTCCCAAATGGCACCAAGTCCACCAGCAAAGTCGCCAAGGTGTACACATGGGGTTCAGCTTTCTTACCTCTGGTCTCAGGCCCAGGGCTCCCCTGCCCATTCCCTTCCCTGTTCAATGTGGGCCCACCAAACCCTACCTTCCAGCTGGAGGACAGCCTGGAGGGGGGGCATCTTTGAGGTCACACATTCTGCAGGGTTTAATGCTGTCCTCCCCCCACCCCCTCCCATTTCCCTTTCCCTTTTGTCTTCATCTCACGACTCATCCACACTGAGGCTGGGAGGACCAACACTCCCTGTTAGTTCTTTTTCTCCAGGTAGTTGGAGGGCACCCAGCCTTTGAAGGGCTTTACCCCATCCAGGATCTGGCAGTACCACCAGCCATTGGGGTTCCTCTCCAGGACCTCCATGGACACGCCCTCCTGGAAGCCCGCTGTTTCCTCATCCCCCTCATAGTCTGCAATCGAGACATACACATCTTTGAGGTTGTTGTGGATGAACTGGGACTTCTCGATGGGCTTGGGGCGCACGGGGGACACGGGGATGCTGTTGCGCTGGGCGGGCAGCAGAGGTGTGTCTGAGCCCTGGCTGGCGGCCCGTTCGGCCAGGCGGCCCTTGGCCTCTGCGGCAGTGGAGCGGGCAGTGCTGAAGGAGGAGTTCCGGCGGACTCCTCGGAGGCTGTCAGTGGCCGTGAGTGACTCGTTCCTCCGCAGGGCACATGATAGGTTGTTGTCCTTGGGTGGCGGGGACACAAACACGGACTGGGGCCTCACTGCCACCTGCCGCACACCATTTCTCATCTTCACCGGCCCGGCACCTGAGGTCTTGCCGAAGCCCCCAGGAGGCTTGGAGGGGATGGGCGGCGTGGCCCTCTTGTTCTGGTTCACGGTGTTCAGTGCTTGGACCCGCTTCTCGATCTTTTCCAGGCTGTCTGACTTGCCCTCATTCTGCTTGTTCTTGGCAGTTACCGCGTCCGGCTCTTTGCCAGAGGAGTCAGGTTGCTCGTTCTCACCGAGCACCAAATAGTGGGAGGGGGCCCAGCCCTCCAGCTCCCCAAACCTCACGTACCACCAGCCACTTTCCAGCTTCTCAAGCACCTGCACCTCCACGCCTGCGGGGAAGCTGATTTCTGAGTCCTGGACCTTCTGGTAGGCGCTACATGTCGTGTAGGTGGTGGCCTGCCCTTCCCGTCCCTTCTTGGTGGGACACGGGGACGTGGTGGCTGGGAGGGTGATGAGGTCAGCCGAGCTTCTCCTAGACCCCTCATTGGGACTCTCGAAGGCTGTCTGGGGGGGCAGCTCCGAATCCTCGCTCTTTGAGCCCTTGAGACCACCCCGGAGTTGGCCTGTTGGTCTCAGCTGGCGCCGTAAAGTGCTGATGTCCATCTTCTCTTGACTCTGGGACTCTGCTCGGTTCAGGAACGGTTTGGGCCGGACCGATGGCTTGGCCCGGGCACAGGAGGTCAGCCCAGCCTTCAGGTCAGCGTCCTTCTTCACCCCGACCTTGGGAGTGCCGCGGATGCCTGCGTCCGAGGCAGAACGGGGCTTCAGGTCACCACTGCTCTTGGACAAGGAGGAGGAGGAGGAGGAGGAGGAGCAGGTGGTGTTGATGGTGATAGATGAGGAAAAGGAGGCCGAGGAGTGGTTCTTCCCCAGTTCTGCCTGGGCGTTTTTCTCTACCTTGAGCTTTAGGAGTGACGACGATTTGGGGGAGCCCAATTTGGGGGAGTTTTTCCTGGCAAGGGACAGCGGGGAGCCCCCTGGGGAGTCACTGTCCCGGGAGGAGCGTCTGGCTGACAGGGCATCTTCTGCACATGGCCGGAAGCCCTCGTTCTCGTAGATGGTCTCCTCTTCTAGGGCCACATCCTCTGAAGACCCGCCCACCCTGAAGCGGGCCCGCTGCAGTGAGGAGGCGGGTGAGGGCCTGTGGGGCTGGGCAGGCTGCCTGTCCCCCGAGCCACTGTCCTCTGCGGGCTCCTCGCTCAGCTCCGCCTCTGAGTCGAAGCCAAAGGCAGGGATGTCATACTCAGGCTCCTCGTACTTGAGCTTTAGTGGGGAGTCCTGGCTCTCGTTAGTGCCTGCCGGACATTCCTCGGCCTCCTTGGGCTTGCTGGGGGGTGCCGGTGGGGGAACCTTGGGCCGGGTCAGTGTGCTTGTACGGCGGCTCAGGTTGGGCTTCTTGCGCTTATCGATGTACGACGCGGGGGCCCAGCCCTCCTTCTCACCGATCTGCACGTACCACCAGCCGCCTGAGTTCTTATCGATGACCTAGGGGGAAGGGGCAGACAGGTCAGTGAGCTGGGAGATCGCGAGGACCCTATGATGTGCCAGGCTAGGAGCTTCATACTTTGGCTCTAGGAGATATCATTTACATCTTACAGATGAGCCGTGGCCCAGGACCCAATGTAGTAAGTGATGGGCAGAAATTCAAGCCGAGGTCTCTATCATCTCCTGGTTGGGGGGGCTCCCACTCTCCAAGACCCTCTCCCCTGGTCCTCCAAATCTCTGTCAACACCCTGGTCGAGCTGGGCTCCACTACAGACCCCTGATTTTCCACCCCCTAAGCTACCGCACTTAGAAGATACACCGTTCCTAGTCCTCACAAAACTCAACTCGCCAAAAAACCATATGTATAAAAATCTGCCATTCCACCACTACCATCTTCTTTCCCTCCCCAGTACTGCAAGGTCCTCCCTTGGTGACCCTGGAAAGGGTCTCTCAGGTCAGAAGAGAATGGGAAGTGCAGGTGAGTTGAACTGGGAGGTACGACCTGAGGCCAATGCCTCCCTGCAGAGCATCTCCCTGGTGTCCCCACTGCCTATGGTCATTTCACTGCATGTGGAAGCCCACTGCAATCCCACTAGCTGAAGAGATTTCTTTGGATTGAAAGGTTTCCTGTGGGAAGGCTGCGGGGCTTTCAGTCATTTTCATGTTAGTAATAACTAGTTCAAGGAGCTTCCTTCTTTACTGCTATTTGAGATTGGCTAAAGGCCAGGTGTGTGGTTGTTGGTTGTACTGGGGTTCATCTGGATTGGGGAACATAAAGGGAAGATAATTTTGGATTGTGGAACACTCCTAAAGAAAGAGGTCCTGGGGAGGGGAAAGGGAAACATGAAAAAATTGGCACTAGGGGAAGAGGGGCAAGGAACGAAGAGAGGACAGAGATCACCAAAGACGAGCTCTGCCTGAGACCAGCCCTCTGCAGTCCACACCAAAAAAGAAAGACTTTTCTCCTTCCTTTGGTCCTATATTCATCCTTCACTCTGCCCATCCCGCACTTAAAATTCAAGCTCAGTTAGATCCTAAGTATGACAGTTCTGTTACATTATGAGCTTTGTAGGCTCTTCCAGAAACCCAAGTACCACAGAGAGAATGATTTCTCTTGGAAATTTGTTCCAAGTTCCAGACATGTGATATAAAACATTCACATTGGGGATATCACCTCTTCAATAGCGAGAGACTACCCAATTACTCTTCTGACAGTTTTACAGGTATTAATTGGATTTAACTCCATTACTACACAAAGCCACTCAAGAGAAATGACTGAGTCACAGATCTTCTCTGTCCCCTGGAATGGCCATGTTCAGTGCAGGCCACAAAATAGTTTCATAAATGCTAGGAGATGGGCCAGAGGGAGCATCACAGGGCCTATTACCCCATTTTGCAGAGAGAAATAATCACAGCCTGGGGGGAAAAGTAACTATATCAAATGCCAGAGGTGCCTGTGGTGTGGATGTGGCCAGAACATGAGTCTCCAGTATCTTACTTCGGTCACCTGGACCACATTCTCCTAACAATAGTACTTCCTAATGTGGGTTCTGTGGATCCTGCCCCTAGGTGCTCCTGGGAGAGAAAGTCTGGGCAATGCTGTTTATTCTAATCCCCCCTTAGAGATGCACAGTGACATCCCCCTAGCATAGGCTCTGAGAAGTCCTGCAATTAAAACAACAAAACTGGTTGGATTTTGTTTAACCCACTGTCCTCCAAACTCATTCGACCACAGAAGCTCTTTGTTTCAAGGCAACCCCATCACAAGCTCCTACAATATGCTTTGGGAAATGCTGCTGTGAGGGAAGCACTGTGGAGCTGCATGGAGACACGAGTCCTGATTTCTAGTCCTGGCTGTAGCATTTACTAGATTTAGGAAAATTCTCGTCCCTGTGGGTCTTGTTTCTGTACCTTTCCTGCTGGCCCCTCAGGAACGTTGCCAGCAAGACATAAATGGGAAATGCGGTAGGTCTTGGACCAGCATAAATTAAAACCCTCAGCCTCAAAACAGCCAGAAAACAATTAACAAAATGGCAGTAAGTACATACCTATCCATTATTACTTTAAATGTAAATGGACTAAATTCTCCAAACAAAAGACACAGAATGGCTGAATGGATTGAAAAAACAAGACACATCTATATACTGCCTACAAGAGACTCACTTGAGATGACACACACAGACTGAAAGTGAGGGGATGGAAAGATATTCCACGCAAATGGAAATGAAAAGAAACCTGGTGTAGCTATACTCATATCAGACACAATAGACTTTAAAACAAAGATGGTAATAAAAGAAAGAGGGGCACTACATAATAATAAAGGGATCAATCCAGCAAGAAGATATAACTTTTATAAATATATATACACCCAACATAGAAGCACCAAAATATATAAAACAAATATTAACAGACCTAAAGGAAGAAATATATAGCAATACAATAATAGTAGGGATTCTAACATCCTACTTACATCAATGGATATATCATCCAAACAGAAAATCAATGAGGAAACATCAGCCTTAATGACACATTAGACCAGATGGATTTATTTGATGTATATAGAACATTCCATCCAAAAGCAACAGAATACACATTCTTCTCAAGTGCATATGGAATACTCTCCAGGATAGATCACATTAGGCCACAAAATAAGTCATAATAAATTCAAGAAGAATGAAACAATATCGAGCATCTCTTCTGATCACAATGTATGAAACTAGAAATCAATTGCAAGAAGAAAACTGGAAAAATACAAATATGTGGAGATTAAACATGTTACTAAACAACTACTGGGTCATAGAAGAAATCAAAGGAGAAATTAAAAAATACCTACAGACAAAGGAAAACAGAAATACAACATACCAAAATACAGAAATACAACATACCAAAATCTATGGGATGCAGCAAAAGTGGTTCTAAGAGGGAAGTTCATAGCAATACAGGCCTACTTCAAGAAACAAGAGAGATCTCAAATAAACAATTTAACTTTACACCTAAAGGAACTAGAAAAAGAACAAACAAAGCTCAAAGCTAGTAGAAGGAAGAAAATAATAAATTGGGGGCCGGCCCGGTGGTGTAGTGGTTAAGTTTGCATGCTCTGCTTTGGCAGTCTGGGGTTTGCAGGTTTGAATCCCAGTCGTGGACCAAGGCACCGCTTGTCAAGCCATGCTATGGTGGCATCCCACATACAAAATAGAGGAAGATGGGCACAGATGTTAGCTCAGGCCCAATCTTCTTCACAAAAAAAAAAAAAAAGGAAGGAAATAAGATTAAAGTGAAAATAAATGACATAGAGACTAAAAAGACAATAGAAAAGATCAATGAGGGGCTGGCCCTGTGGTGCGGTGGTTAGGTGCGTGCACTCCGCTGCTGGAGGCCTGGGTTCAGATCCCGGGTGCGCACCGATGCACCGCTTGTCAGGCCATGCTGTGGCAGCGTCCCATATAAAGTGGAGGAAGATAGGCACAGATGTTAGCCCAGGGCCAGTCTTCCTCAGCAAAAAGAGGAAGATTGGCATGGATGTTAGCTCAGGGCTGATCTTCCTCACAAAAAAAAAAAAAAAGATCAATGAAACTAATAGCTGGTTTTTTGAAAAGATAAACAAAACTGACAAACTGTTAGCTAGACTCACTGAAAAAAAGAGGGCTCAAATAAAATCAGAAATGAAAGAGGAGAAGTTACAAATGATACCACAGAAATACAAAGGATCATGAGACTACTATGAACAATTATACGCCAACAAGTTGGACAACCCAGAAGAAATGGGTAAATTCCTAGAAATCTGCAATCTTCCAAGAATGAATCATGAAGAAACAGAAAATCTGAATAGACTAATCACTAGTAAGGAGATTGAATCAGTAATCAAAAACCTCTCAAAAAACAAAAGTTCTGGACCAGATGGCTTCACTGGTGAATTCTATCAAACATTCGAAGAGGATTTAATACCTATCCTTCTCCAACTCTTCCAAAAAAAATGAAGAAGAGGGAAAGCTTCCAAACTTTTATGAGGCCAGTATTACGCTAATACCAAAACTAGACAAGGACACCACAAAAAAAGAAAATTACAGGCCAATATCACTGATGAACATAGAGGCAAAAATCCTCAACAAAATATTAGCAAACCAAATTTAACAATACATTAAAGGATCATACACCATGATCAAGTGGGATTTATTCCAGGGATGTAAGGATGGTTCAACATCTGCAAATCAATCAACATGATACACCACATTAACAAGATGAAGGATAAAAATCATACAATCATCTCGATAGATGCAACAAAAGCATTTGACAAAATTCAACATCCATTTATGATAAAAACTCTTAAAGTGAGTACAGAACGAATGTACCTCAACATAATAAAGGACATATATGACAAACACACAGCTAACATATACTCAACGGTGAAAAGCTGACAGCTTTTCTTCTAAGATCAGGAACAAGACAAGGATGCCCACTCTTGCCACTTTTATTCAACATAGTAGTGGAAGTCCTGGCCATAGCAATTAGGCAAGAAAAAGAAACAAAAAGTATCCAAATCGGAAAGGAAGCAATAAAACAGTCAACTATTTGCTGATGATATGATACTATTTATAGGAAACTCTGAAGACTCCACCAAAAAATTGTTAGAATAAATGAATTCAGTAAAGTTACAGGATACAAAATCAATATACAAAAATCTGTGGCATTTCTATACGCTAATAACAAAATATCAGAAAGAGAAATCAAGAAAACAATTCCATTTACAATTGCATCAAAAAGAATAAAATACCTAGGAATAAATTCAACTAAGGAGATGGAAGACCTGTACACTGAAAACTATAAGGCACTGATGAAAGAAAGAGAAAAGGACACAAATAAATGGAAAGATAGTTTTGTGCTCATGGATTGGAAGAATTATTACTGTTAAAATGTCCATACTACCCAAAGCAATCCACAATTCAATAGTATTCCTATCAAAATTCCAATGACATTTTTCACAGAACTAGAACAAATACTTCCAAAATTCGTATGGAACCACAAAAGACCCCGAACAGTCAAATCAATCTTGAGAAAGAAGAACAAAGCTGTAGGTATCATGCTCCCTGATTTCAAACTATACTACTAAACTACAGTAACAAAAACAATATGGTATGGCATAAAAACAGACACACAGATCAATGGAACAGAATTTGAGAACCCAGAAATAAATCCACACACATATGGGCAATTAATTTACAACAAAGATGCCAAGAACATACAATGGAGAAAGGACAGTCTCTTCAATAAATGGTGTTGGGAAAACTGGACAGCTACATGCAAAAGAATGAAACTAGACCACTCTCTTGCACCATACACAAAAATTAACTCAAAATAGCTAAAGGCTTGAATATAAGACCTGAAACCATAAAATTCCTAGAAGAAAACATAGGTGGTAAGCTCCTTGGCGTAGGTCTTAGTGATATTTTTGTGGATCTGACTCCAAAGGCAAGAGAAACAAAAGCAAAAATAAATGGGACTACATCGAACTAAAAAGTGTCTGCAGAGTGAAGGAAATCATCATCGAAACGAAAAGGCAACCTACTAAATGGGAGAAGATGTTTGCAAATCATATAGCCAACAAGGAGTTAATATCCAAAATATATAAAGAACTCCTATATCTCAACAACAAAACAAACAACCTGATTAAAAAATGGGTAGAGGAACTCAATAGACATTTTTTCCAAAGAAGACATACAGATGGCCAATGGGCACATAAAAAGATGTTCAACATCATTAATTATTAGGAAAATGCAAATCAAGACCACATGAGATATCATGTCACCCCTGACAGAACAGCTATTATCAAAAAGACAAGAAATAACAAATGTTGATGAGGATGTGGAGAAAAGGAAACCCTTATGCACTGTTGGTGAGAATGTAAATTGGTACAGTCACTATGGAAAACAGTATGGAGAGTCCTCAAAAGACTAAGAGTACAACTACCATATGATCCAGCTATTCCACAGTATCCATTTATCTGAAGAATACAAAAACACTAATTCGAAAAGACATGCACCTCTATGTTCATCACAGCATTATTTACAATAGCTAAGACACGGAAACAACCTAAGTGTCCATCCACGGATGAATGGATAAAGAAGATATGGTATATGTATATATAATGGAATACTACTCAGCCATAAAAAAGGATGAAATCTTGCCATCTGCAACAACATGAATGGACCTTGAGGGTAGTACGCTAAGTGAAATGTCAGACAGAGAAAGACAAATATCGTATGATTTCAGTCATATGTGGAAGCTAAAAAAACAAAACAAATGAACAAACAAAACAAAACAAAAGCAAACTCACAGTGACAGAGAACAGACTGGTGATTACCAGAAGGGAAGGGAGTCAGCAGGTGGGTAAAATGGGGAAGGGGGTTAATGGGATGGTGACGGATGTTAACTAGATTTTTGGAGGTGATCACTTTGTAGTTTATACAGATGTTAAACTACAATGTTGTAACACCTGAAACTTATATAATGTTATACATAAATTTTAACTCAAAGCTCAAAAAACAATCCTCTGCCTCATGGCTCAAAGCTCACCTCTGCCTTCTGTCCACCCCGGAAGCTGATCCCGTCAGAAATGCACGACTGGAATTCGGCAATGGTGTAGTACTCCACCTCAACAGAAGGGGGCTCTGGTGGCTTCGGCAGCTGGAACCCCTAAGCAGAGACGGACTCAGTGAGCAAAACTCACCTGATCAGAAAGGTAACAGAGGTGAGTGTGGTGTTTACACTAGCTGGACAGCAGCTGACCTGAGGAAGCATCTATCACCTGAGTCTCAGGGTGTCTCCCCAAGAGATCGCTCTCCTGACCAGGCTTTCTAAGAACACTTAGGATTCACTGGGGACTTGTTTGAGCTATCATAATGATCATTTAGTAACACCCCTCCCTCTCTGGAGGTCCCAAAATGAAAATTAAAAAGCAGAGAAATCATTGTAACAAAGCCTGCGCCCACTGCCTCATGGGAGAGGAGAGCCCTGTCCTTAAGTCTAAGGGTGAAAGGCTGCAGGGGTGACATCTGGCTGCGAGGGCAGGGCCAGGGAGCACAGCTATCCCTACGGGGCGTGGGGTTGGGTGAGATAAGCCCTTGGTCAGTCATCACGATGATGTCAAATGGTCAGGCAAGCACTGAATAAAACTCGGGGTCCTTTGCTCTGTGAGTAGGGTGGAACATGCTGGAAAGCCTACATGTTTTTAGATGCTGCACATCAATATCTAAGCATGATATTCAAGGACATTTAGAATTTGGCCACAGCCCATGACTTGTGAGCCTCATTCATCTGTTTTACAAATGTTTGCTGTGCATCTACTGGGTGCCAAACACTGGTCTAAGGCCCTGGGCATCTGAGAGTGAACCAAAAGGACAACACTCTTGCCCTTAAGGAGTGGACATTCTAGCGTCACTCGGTCTCTGCTCTGGCCAAAATGGACTTTGTGCCTCCCCATCACTCCCAGTATATCCCAGTATCATACAAAGGAGTTAAAGCAAAATAACTAAGTGAAAAAGGTATGTGTTGGGGGGCGGTGCTGGGGAGGGGAAAGCAGCTGTGGTGTAACAGGAACACCTCTGCCTTGCAGCTGGACACATGTGGGCTCCAATCCCAGCTCAGCAATTCACCAGCCACATGGCCCCGGGCAAGTCCCGTGACCTCTCTGAACCTCAGTTTTCTCATCTGTAAAATGGAACTAATAACAGGGTCATTAAGAAGATTACTGAGATAATGTACATAACTTCTGGCCCAGCCAGGGCACAGGAAGAGTGCCATAAGTAGAAGCTACAGCTGAGCACTCCTCCTGAAACACCATCGTATTCCTCTGAAGCTTCCTCGTCCTTCAAGGCTCGGCATGTCCTAATCCTGCCAGTCACAGCCCAGCTGCCTGAGGTCACAGGGAGCGAAGGGTGGGAGGAAGCTGGTTTTGAGGGACTGGCTCTGATTCAGTCAACTTTCTGCCCTGGTGCCTGACCCTGCAGCCATCCATGGAGCAGACTGAGCCAAGGCCCCAGCCCAGCCTTGACCCCTGGCCAGGTGGGATTCAGCCGGGCCTACCTGGAAACAGCAGGCCTGCCTCAGCAAGCCCTGCATTTGGTCAGTGTGGAAGGAACTACCCCATTCTTGCCAAAATCAAGTCTGCCTGAAAATAATCAGCTGGGGCTGAGAGAAATGGGAGGAAAGGAGAACTTGTTGTTTAGTTGTATAAAACCCAAGGGGAAAAGGAAATAGAAACTCCACTGGGGCTGATGGCAAGGGCGAGGACGGTCTCACCTCCAGGGCCCAAATCTTCACAAATCCTGTTTATTGAAGGCCCTCTCTTCCAGGGACTGCTGCTCTCCCCGCTTGGGGGCAGATGCCACTGATCAGAGCCATTCTTGCTGCTAAGCCCAGATGGGACTTCAGAAATCTTTTTCCACACAACACAGCAGGTAGTCCCTCCTAACAGTCACAGTTGACACCAGAAATGGAAACCCGACTGCCAGCCCTCTACACATCATCTCATTTCATCCTTACAACAGCCCTAGGACATGGCTGCATTGTCCCCATCTTATAGATTAGGACACTGAGGCTTGCGGAGGGGAAGCAACTTGTGCCCAGGGTCTCGCTGTTCCTAAGTGTCAGAGTGGAATATGAATCCATGCCTGGCAGGCTCAAAGCCCCATTCTTTCCACTGCATCTCCTGCTCCTGATAACAGTTCTCTGTTCTAGGGCTCTCGGCCTGCCACCAGCATCACTGCCGCTCCCAAGCCCCAGCGCCCTGAGTGTACATCTGCCTCCCTGACCATCTGGACACCAGGAAACTCCACCCACAGGAGCCAGGAACCCCAGCAGCACTGAACCTCTTTAAGCTTCAGCCAAGCCAGTCCTTGCCATTCACCTCCCTCCCTAGAGGATGCTCAAGGTCTGCTCTCTGCCCTCCCAGACTCTGGCATCCACCACAACCATTGGGCATTTCCGAGCAAGGAAGGCAAAGCTGAAAGGCTTCCAGGCTCACATGGACAGCAGCCCTGTTTCCAGCCCCTGGCAATGCCCAGGCTGGACACTCTCGCCGGCCAGTCTAAATGTTTATGTCTGCCAGCGAAGTGGCTGGGATGGATTTATTTAGCTTTGGAATGCAGTGCATTTTCAATTATAAACTGTCTAGCGAGGCCCCCAGAAAGGCTGGGATCCCCAGGCTTCCCTCCCTGCCCCCAGCCCCACAAAGCTAGAAGCCCCAGCAGGGCCTTGGGAGACCTCTTGAGAGAGCCAATTAACTGGGGCTGCTACAGTACATCCCAAAAAGGAACAAAAAAGGGAGAAGAAATTCAGCACACATACCAGGCTAGATTCTCTGCGAGGTGGAGGCCTTGTCCTTAGGTTTGGGGAGCCTGGAAGAAGAAACATGGCTTCAGAAATCCCACTGGGCAACAGTGCCTGGACCTGCCCTCCCCTGGTGTGACCACCTCCTGATCCTGGGACGTTCCTGCTTTTGTCCCACACTGATGAAGGACCCATGCTCTCAGTCACTTTAGGCACTAGAGTTGGGCTTCTTCAGTGGGAAACCACAGACCTTTAAACTTCCTTGACTGTGCTTCAGGGGGATCCATGAGTCCTCTAAAATGATGTGCACATTTCAAAATGCACGGACACAGAGGCATTTTTCAGGAGAAGGGGTACATAGCTCTATCAGATTTTCAAGGTTAGGAGCAGAGACCATGTCTATTTTTTGCTCACTACCAAATCCTTAGAAGCTAGCACAATTCCAGGCAAGAAGAGGTGCCCAAAAAACATTTCACCACTGATTGCCCAAAAGGTTTCAGGCACATGAGCTAACTTAACCAAGTGCAGAACTAAACTAAAGAATAGCTTTCCTCCAGATTTTAAGGATGGCTGGAGATACCCGGAAGCTGGTCTCTCATAATACAGAACAGTTTAACCCTCGACCAAAGGCATTGTTGAGTGAGAGATGGATAGAGATTTGGAGGAGGAGCCAAATAGCCGGGGTTCTCCTATAAGAATGAAGGAGATTCCTGAAGAGTGTCCCTTAAAACTATGCTTGTAGAGAGAGCAAAACCACACCTTCCAAGTCCATTAGGTTTCCAGAAACTAGTGGAAGGTGACAGGGAAGGAGGGATAAGGCCCAGAAAGATGTCGCTCTGTTGGCTGTCACTCCATAAAGCAGCCTTGCATAGAGGGCCCACGTATGGCAGCCCAGGGGACTACAGCTATCTGCAAAGTCACCATTCCTGACTCTCCACCTGAGAAGGAGGGCGTGCTGCCGGCTGATATACTCAGGTCATTTATCTTCAGTGGAGGAATTGCCTTGCCCGCTCTTGTGATTAACATGAGACAAGCTGACAGAGTGAGGCTGGGGTCAGGAGTCAGGATCTCAGGAAGAAAATGATGGGGGGGTCCTGCACACCCTTCTGGCTTTCCTTACACCCCCTGCCCACTCTATAAAGAGCTTTGCAGTGAGGACCAGCGAGGCTCTTACTGATCTGAGCCCTCTGAGGGGCAATCCTGGCCACGGCTGGGGAACCCTGGGCTAGCTTGGAGACGGTCCTCTCGGGGACCCCCAGGGCACTGCCATTGGAGGCGTTGCAAAGGATGGGCAGGCTGATCTCCTTCTTGGCGATGGGGGCCTCAGGGCCCTCGCCTTCAGTTGGTGGAGTCTCCTTATCCCCTGATGTCTTCTTGTTCAGCAGGTTGCTTATCTCCATGATGTTTCCAATGATCTCCACTGGGCCTGCCAGATTCTTCTTTCGTGCTGGCAGGTCATCCTTGGCTTTCTTCAGGTAGGATGCTGGTGCCCAGCCCTCTTTGCCCAGGTATCTGTGGGGAGGAGTGGGACATGGCACCATTACAGCACTGATGCCTGACCTCACGCCCCACTCCCGGACCCCAGGCTTCATCCGGCCTTGCTCAGCTGAGCCTTCTCTACCATGTTATGCAAGACATTTGGCAATCCCACTACTCTGGAGAGAACTGGAACTGAGGGCAGGTGGAAAAGACACCTTGAACACCATTTCTTCCTCTCTTTCTCCTTGTTCTTTGCCTGATCCCTCTCGGTGAGGGCTCTCATTCTCTGCAAAGTCAGGCCAACGTCAGAAGATTCCTCAAATTTTGGGTCGCCCAAAAGGTCGACTTCACAACAGCCTGCTACCTCACAATCAGTAGAGAGCACTTCTAGAGAGAAGAAATGAGAAGCTGTGTAGAGTCAACTGCCCTATCGGAAAGGGAAGTGTTATCAGAGAGGCCAAGATGTAGCAGAGGTGAGAGTTAGGAAAGCTGAGTTCTGGTCTACGGTGCCTTGGACCAGTCCCTACCTTTGAGCTCAATTTTTTCTCTTCTGCAAAATACAGGGATAAAAAAGCTGTGAAAATGTGTCCAGAAGGATAGACACATTGAGAGCAACCAGGAAGATGTCTATAAAGAAAAATGACTGAGGGGGAAAGTACCAATTCTACTGCAGGGGCGGCAGACAGATCACGTTCATAGAACAAGCCCACAAACAGACCAACACTACAGGTAATATTTCAAATTAGTGGGGTAAGGATGGATTATTAAATGAGTGATTTGGGGACAACTAATTATCCAGTTAGGAAAAACAAGTGAGACCCTGGTCTCGTGGCTGTATAGCAAAATAAAAAAATGCAAGTTGTGAACATTTGCCTCATCTTGGGGGTTGAGAAAATCCTAAATGGGACTCCAAATGCCCAAACCATAAATGAAAAGACTAAAGCACATGACTGGATAAAATGAAAACCTTTGGTATGGCAAAACAAAAACTAAACGAAACAAAATGAAACAAAATGAAAACAAAACCAAAAACCCATAAACAAGAGCAAAAGGCAAATGACAGGGCTGACTTAATTTTAGGTGATTTGACGACTTCTGAAAACAAGCTTTTCCTTTTTCTCCCCATGGTGTTGAGCTTCTACCCAAACCCACTGGGAGCTTACTTCCTGGTCCAGCCGTTGCTGGCCAATGCCCCCGAGTCTGGGTTGCAATGTCCCCGTCTGCTCCCTGCGGCACATCTGGCTCCTTGGAATGGGTCCTCCACCCCAGATGTCGGCAGTCTCCCCTCCCCCACCTCCCTGATCTGACCTGGTTCTTGGGCACTCGTTAGGTGGGAAAAAAAGGAATGTGAAAGCTGACGTTTCTATGTACGTGTCTGAGCTTTGCTGGAAAGCTCAGGTAGGAGGTGGCTTCTTATGTTCACGTCATAGGAAGGTGCAGGCAGGCTGACCCAAGCTCACCTGTCTGGCCCCCCGTTGGGGGCTTGGAAGGCAGGCATCAGTGAACAAATGGATGAAGTCAGGGAGCTGGCAGACAGAAGCAGAGAATTTCAGGGGTAGATGAAAGCAACTAGCAAAAATGCCTAGTCTTACATATGAGCCAACAACCAAGGCTCAGAAAGCAAAGTAGCAGAGGGTCACACAGCTAGCTGTTGGCAGCATCCAGCCCAGAGCCTGGTGCTCTTGCATCTCGGATAAAGGAGGAAGATGACGTTTTTCTATGCAAACCCTGTGGAGAGGTGGGGCACAGGGTCTCATGGGAGTGATGGTCAGGCCTGCTCACTGCCCTGAGTGCTCCTATTTCAAACCCCGTTGTGTTCCTTTGGTGTTACATGGGTAAAATTCGACTCCAGGCGGAGATATGCAAGGGAATCAGGAGTGGCTGTGTGTGTCTGGGTCCAACTCTGCTCACATCTGCTTTCCAGCTCTGGAACATGGAATGACTCCAGAGGCAAGAAGACTGGAAAAGGAGGGATGGAGAAAGAGGGAGGGGTGTGTGTGTGGTGGGGGGGGGGTGGAGGAGAAAGACAGGAAATGAGGATCAACACAGAGCCTGGAATGTTGGGAAATGGCATATTTAAGGGGGTATCTGGCAGCCTTCTTAAGGTGGAACCTTTCAGCAGGGTTTTCTCAGTTGAAGCTCCCACTGGCTAAAGGGCTAGGCCAAAGGGACAAGAGTTGACTAGAAGCAGCAGCTCAGAATGACTTCGTTGGTCATTATAGAAAATAGAAAAAAAATCTAGCAGCTTTGTAGATAACCTCCAGGCAAGCAATTTAGGTTCCCAGCCTGCCAGAATGTTCACTGGCCTTCCCATGCCAGACGTGTAATTGCTGGATTTTTGGGTTGGCTCTAGTTTCCATTGCTTAGAGAACATGAAAGTCTAGAGGCAGTAGCTTTGGGCAACAAATCCTTGTCCCACCTAGCAGGAGAGAAAGGGACACCTCAGCGCTCCTGACTGATATGTACAGGGCCAGGGGCAGCTGTGTGCTGTCAGGTCACACTAAGGTTCAATCTCACGAGGCCAGTGACCTCCATCCTACTTGTCAGCATAGATCAATCTTAGCACCATCACAGTCTGCCATGGTCTGAGCACTGTTTCGTGAGTGCCTGCATCACCGTGGTCAATCCTGTCCCTGCTGGGGGAGACAGCTCAGAACACACATCCTGCCCACGGTGGATCTGGGGTTCCCAGGTGTGGTGCACTGGCCAGGCTGTCCCCAAAGCCCACAGACATGGGACTATCTCTGTAGGCTGTGTTATGAGCAGAGGAGAGAGAAACTGGGCAAAATCATCACAGCTGAGCAGGTTCCAAAGGCACGAAAACATTTCCTGAGAGCTAGCCTCGGAGCCCTGGGCAGAGGGGACTAGAAGGGCAGGATCTGGTGGGGGAGAGGTGAGTGAAGCCCACAGGTTTACTTTGCTTCCCTGAGCATCAGGAAAGCTCCCCAGCCCCTACCCACACTCCCAAATGGGTTTCTCAGCTGGGAAAGGGAGGGGCAGGAGATGGAAGAGGTCTCTGAACTAGGCCTGGGCTCAGGCCTCACTTCTACCTCAGCTCTCGCAACCATGTGAGCCAGCCCTGAGGAGCGGAACAGCCCGGGACCAAGCCAGCATCTGGGGCCCCGAGTGCTGAGGCGTGGGCAGCAGGGGCTGCCTGCTGGGACCTCAGCAAGGCCCATGGACGCCAGCGCTCCAGGCAGCGGAGCTGCACAGCATGCCAGGCAGCCAAGGCCGGACACAGAAAACCAAATTCAGATGTGCTGGACCCTCTTGGCAGAGGCATGGGGAGGGATTGCACCACTGCCTGCAAGCTGAGCCAGGGCCCCTGTACCCCGCTGGCTATGGCTCAGGCTCTGCTTTATGCGTCCCGGGAGAAAATCTGCAAGATGAACACTCTCTGTTCAAGCTGTTCAGCTGTTCAGCTGTGCAGACTTGGAGCAGCCAAGCCCAGGCCGTGGGTGCAAAGCTGCTGTCAGTATCTACCTGCCCGCTGTGCCCACGGCCACCCTGCAGTCCACTCTGCTGCCCAGGACTGGGGCCTGAGGGCCAGGGTGGCAGAGACATCTCGCTCCTCTGCGGGTGCTCCTACCTGATGTACCACCAGCCCTCCAGATTCTTCCGGATCACCTCCACAGTGACACCCTTCTCAAAGCCAATTTCATCCTTGCTTTGGCTGGTGTAAGGCTGCACCGTGACATACTTCTCCTCTGTGGGTGGCGGGCAAAGCGAGAAAGCACAATTATTTGAGGTTGGGATGCGGGTCCTCCCTCCTGTCTCCTCCTCCTTCCCTGGCCTGGCCTGCTTAGCTGGTTGCCAAGGTGCACTGGGTTAGCCTCTGGCTTTTCCAGGGAAAGGCATAGAAGAGAAGGGACCAGGCCTCACTTCCAGTGTGTGCCAAAGCCAGCCAGGGCCCGGGTAGCCCAGCAGAGCCCTGGGCAATGTAGAGGCTCTCCCAGCTTCCCAGCCCAACAAAGACAGCCAGGCTGCTGGGGCCTGGGGTCCTCAGGGTCCCAGAAACTCCCAGAGCTGAGGGCAGGGTTAGGAGAAACCTGCCTCTTGAGGGGCCCGCGTCAGGAAGTCTGAGACCAACCCTGGGTGTCCCCTGAATGCCTTGAGGCCCCATGACATGCCCTCTCCTTCCCTGAAGGTACCACACTTCCATCTGTTGCAGACTTGCTCTCTGGGCCCTTCTCTCACCTCAACCCCTTAAATCCTTCCTCTGTCTGACCCTCTGACGGCTCCTGGGGCACTTCCTCTGGGAAGCCTTCCCTGACCACTAATTACATAACTTCCCCAAGAGGATTCCAGGGAACACAGGTCCCACGGGAGTGGTTATACGTGTCTTGTTAAGATAAGGGTCCCATGGCCAAATAAGCAATGGCAGTGCCGAGCGCAGCACAGCCAGGCGAGACCTCCTGGAGCCCTGAGTGGGCCAGTGTGCCCGTGCGTCTTCTGGAGGACAGCGTGCGGAGCTGACCACGTGGTGCGGCAGACCCCTCTGGGGAGCGGCATGCTCTGGTCTTGCAGGTGTGACTGCGGGCCTCATTCAGGGTCTCCCCAGGCACTGGGGAAGAGGCGGCTTGTGGGAGCTCAAGAAGAGCTTCGGGGGCAGGCGTGGGGAGGCTGAACGACCGTGTCTTCCCTGGTTCCCTCAGCCTCTCTCCCAGCAGGGGGGCCTGCTGCCTCCACACAGGTCCTTACTTAGGCTTCCAGAGGTGTTGCTTCTGTCTGCCGGGGGCCAGTTCTGCCTGCCCCCAGGAAGCCCCTGACAGCTGGATCCACAGCTGGCTGGCCACAGACACCCTGCCTTCCAGGTGGAGAGCCCCCGCCAGAGGACGGTGGAGGCCTCAGGATGGAGCATACTCCCCCACCCCCACCCTCTGGAAGAACAAGGAGCAGACAGGCAGGGAAGAACTGGCCCATCTGGCCATGCCCTTTGGGAGGGCGACCCTGAACCTATGCTGTCCTCTCCGGCCTGGGTGTTCTCCGTGGCTGAGACAGTGCCTGGCACACAGCAGGAGCTCCAGAGGAACAGGGTGCATTGAGAAAGAGAAGGAGAAGCTGAGCAGCAGCACTCAGGGGAGACTTTCTGGGAGCTCAAAACAGCAGAACACTCATGCGGAACGCCGGTCTCTAAGATGTCTGCCCCCCACCCCCAGCTGCGACAGCCGCCCCCTGGACTCCTCAGCTGGACCCTGATGGGCAGCAACAGGGAAGGGGGGGCAGCTGCCACCTCGACCCTCTGCAGGAGGGCCATCTGTTCTTTCTTCCCTGGATTATCGGGGTCCTGTTTGCGGCCCTGTGCTGGGCTGAGATAGTGGCTCCCTTTGGGATGAAGGCAGCTGCCCTGTCAGGCCCCAAGGATGGGCCGCTGGCCAAATGTTAAAGGCTGCCAAAAGGCACAAGGTGAATGACGACCCGTGGGAGCCTGCACAATTCTTCAGCATGCTCTTCTCAACTGCAAACCTTTCTCAGCTGCAGGCCTTTCTCAGCATCAACCAGCTCCTGGATGCTTTCAGATTCCCATCCAGCCATGCTGGGGAGAGCTGCCAAGACTGCTTGAGAACCTTGTCCAGCCGGATTCTGACTCGGGCCTTTGAGAAGTTCAGGGTTCCACAGTCCAACCCTCAGCTCTCCCGCCTGCTCTTGGTCCTGCTCCATTTTCCAGTGGGGCACGGCAAATCCTGGCCTGGGTGGTGGCCGGAGGGGCAGCACCAGGCCCCGGGGACCTGGAGTTCTGAGGTTTGGGTGAGGCAAGGCCTGCGCTCCACATTTTGCCTTTGTTCAGCTGGGCTATTTTTAAAAGCCTGTGGTTTGAGCAGGAAGCCATCATTAAAGTTTTCCTAGGCAAAGCTTTTGCAGGGAAAAATTACAGTCCTTCTCTCAGGAAGATCAGAGGAGCCCAGCCCTGCCGCATGGCAGAGAACAGGGCCTACACTGTGTCACATGGGCTCCAGCTCTGCAGCTGCGAGGCCCAAGCACCAGCCGCTGCAGCCCCATGTGTGCTGAAAACAGAGCCCTGCGGGCCATGTAAGCGCCCCACTTTCCCCTGACCCTTCTGGGGTGGGCAGAATCGAGGATATCAGTTTTACCCAGTAAAGTTGAGCTGCTCCTGCAAAAGGCCCTATTCATGGTGGCCCTGGGGCTGACGTGAACACAGATCTCTGGGAGTTTGTGCTCCCAGTAAGAGATCTGGCTGGCTTGGAGGCTTGTTCTGCCCTGTCACTGTGTAGGTTCCAGGTGATGAGAATTCTGAGCTCTGGTCCCACGCAGGGCAACTCTTCCAATTAGTCTGTTCAGGGGCTCAGTTCTCTGCCACAGTTGGCTCAGATGGATGAAGTGTGGATTACCTCCATGTGGACATGTGCCACATAGGTCTCAGGTCCTCAACTCACAGGGTTCCCAGAGGAGGAAGCAGAGCCAACCCCTCTAATGGACTGGGGCCACAAACCACACCAGGAGAGGGGCAGACAGGAGGATGCCCAGACAGATGGAAATGGCCTTAGCGGACAGTGAGGCATTCAGGTTGGTTGGGGTCTCTAGAAGAGATGCCCCTTAGGAATCAGAGTTGGGGGAAGGGGGGCTGTGAGTTCCAGGGGGCACCTCAGGGATTCTGGGAAGCACTGAGGCTGTGGTCACTCTGATGTGCCATCAAAGGATGGTGGCAACCCTGCCCTGGGGAGGGCTGGCCAGGCCGCCCATGGAGGGGGTGGGTGGGTGGGTGGCTGGCTTGGGGGAGGTGGACAGGCCTGTTTTGGTTTTCGAGGCAGGGGCTGGAGAGCCCTGCAGTTTCCAAACCACAGACGCCTCCTCTTTCCAAACACTTTCCCCTCCGTCAGCAGTCTCCCCGGCTCCCCTCCCAGCCCCCACAACCTACCCAACCCCACTGCAAGGGGCCTTTTGATTCCAAGGCCTGGTTGGCTGAGGGAATAGGGAGTGGAGGCCGCGGGGAAGCACTGCTTTTCTCTTGTCTGGTTATATATGACCCACTGCCCGCTTCCCCCCGTCAGCTCGGCTGTTTGCAGCAATGTTTTTCCCAGCCAACTCTCTGCAAGCTTTTCTTGGCTGCCTGATTTAACTTAGGGCTAAGACTGGGAAATCATGTTGTTTAGGTCTGTTATTTGAGAGAGAGAGAAGTTGTGGGCATGTATTTGCATATGCATGGGTAACTGTAGAATCAGGCGTTTAGTTGGGTATTTGTCTATGTTCATAACTGGGAACACAGCGCCCGTGTACACGTGGTATGAGGGCTGATGTATACAAGACTGTAGATGAAGCTCTATGTGTACTTGTGGTGTTGCTGCAGAGATGCACACATGACGTGGCTGTGAGCAGTTAGCTGTGTGGATAATGTATCTGTGACTGTGTAAATAACATATACATGGAACAGTCTATGTGTGGTTGCGTAAGTGGAATTACACATGCGTATCCATTAGTGGCTGTGTGCACAGGACCGTGGATGTGCAGCTGTGTGGGGACTGGATGGGACAGTGTACTGTAGCCACGCCTGTGGCCAACAGGGCTGTGCATTGGTGGTAGTGTTTCACCGGCTGCATGTGTCTGCGTGGTTGTGGAGACAGTTGTATCTGGGGCTCAGTGTATGATGGTGTTTGGAGCAGATGCTGGAGGCGATGGGGGAAGGTCAAGCCTTTCTCCCTGCTGTTCTCCTAGGCCAGCATCCTGCTCTCCTTTGCCACCAAGGCTGAGGGCTGTGTCCCAGCCTGGCCTGCCAGCAATGCTGTCCCACTTCTCCCAGCTCTAGGATGCCTTTGCTTTACATTCAGCCTGTTCTTGCTGTTTCCACAACTTAGCCCCCCGCCGTGCACCAGCCCCTAGGGTCCAACCCATGCCCCACCCTCAGGACAAGCTGGGTTCCTCAGAGCCAGCACTCTGAGCCTGATGCCAAGCTTGCCACGGCGGTGGCCAACCCCGAGTCCAGGCTTCATGCCGCCCAGGGCTTGGGGGCAGATTCCACAACATGGTCTCACAGTCATTCAGGAACGAGCTTTGGGGGTGGGGGTATGAGTCACCAGGCATCCCTGCCATTCTAGAGGCCAGTGCTTATTACACACCTCCCAGCTGTGCCGGCACTGCCCGGAACACACATGATGTGCTCTCCTTGAGGCAGGAGAAACTAGCCACTCACTGCCCTTGGGGCTCTGCAGATGTTTAGGGGTTTGTTCAGAGGCCTGCCTCTACTCTCCCTTCCTCCCAAGCTCCTGGATGTTGGAAAGGTCCTGGGGCCGGCCCTGTGGCATAGCGGTTAAGTGCGCGAGCTCTGCTGCTGGCGGCCTGGGTTTGGGTCCCGGGAGCACACCCATGCACTGCTTGTCAGGCCATGCTGTGGTGGTGTCCCATATAAAGTGGAGGAAGATGAGTACAGATGTTAGCCCAGGGCCAGCCTTCCTCAGCAAAAAGAGGAGGATTGGCATGGATGTTAGCTCAGGGCTGATCTTCCTCACAAAAAAAAAAAGAAAAAGGAAAGGTCCTGAACCTGCATAAATCTCAGTTCCCGATCAGCCTATGTGGCAGGCCTGGGGCCTCCCCGGAATCTTCTTTTTTTTTTTTTAAAGATTTTATTTATTCAGTTTTTTCCCCCCAAAGCCCCAGTAGATAGCTGTATGTCATAGGTTCACATCCTTCTAGCTGCTGTACGTGGGACTCGGCCTTGCGTTGGACGGAGAAGTGGTGCCTCGGGGCGCTCCCGGGATCCGAACCCGGGCCGCCAGCATCAGAGTGCGCGCACTTAACCGCCAAGCCACGGAGCCGGCCCCCCGGAATCTTCTTGATCAGGCCCCTCCTGAAGTCCCAACGGCTAGTGTGGAGATGCTGGAGGCTCCTGACCGGACCTGATACCTCCATCAGAGCTTGTGGGGGCTGCACCCTGGGGCCAGGCCGGGTCTGGCTTTTGCTCCCTTTCTAGTTTCCCAGGAGCTGGCTAGAGGAGGAGGGCTGTGGGTTGCTCCTCCTTCCTACTCTGTCCCTAAGTAATCGCTGGAACAGCTTTGGCTGAGGGAGCACCTTCCTGGAGGAAAGAGGCAATGAAGGGTGGGGGTGACTGGGACGACCCCTGCAGAGACTTGGACTCTTATACTTAGTTTTCTTAATCTGCAGCTTCCAGGGCAAATGTGGCCTCTCTTAGAGTCCCCAAAATTATGTCCTAAGTCCCATGACCCCCACCCCCAGGACGCTGGAAGAAGCCAGAGCCGCCCCCAGTGTCATCCCAATCCCCAAACAGCCCCTGCATCCACCTTCCTCCCCGCTGCTTCCCCAGCTGCAGTAGGCAAGAGAAAAGTCTGGCCAGTGAATCTGGGTGAGGAGGCCACTGGGCAGGGCAGACCAGAGCCCGGGGAGGAGGAGAGGTGTTAGTGAGAGAGAGAGAGGTGGCAGTTGCAGGTGAGGAGAAGCTGGCTCCCACGGTCACCTCGGCTGTGCTGCCTGTTGACCATCCCGCCCAGGGTCCACCGACGATCCAGGCGCCGCAGATGGGCCTTGCGTCTCTTGGACACTGGCGTGGGAGATGGCGATGGAACACGTGGCCGACAGGAACACGTGGCCGACAGGAACGGGCGGAGAGAATGGAGATGAGGATGAGATGGGATGGGGCGGGGAAGGGATGGAGGGACGGAAGGTTCATCCCAGGTCATCAGCACCTGGATGGAGCCCCAGCAGCACACCACTGCTGGATGGGGACAGATGTGACATGCAACAATGTTGGCATGTGGGGGAAAACTCAACCAAAGCCAAACCCTGGGGGGTTTTGCCCCTGAACCTGGGAGGGGCTATGAATTTAGAATCCCAGCACCTGAGAGGTGGAGAGGGCCCTCGGCTCCAGCCTAGCACAAGGACGGCCCTCCGCTGCAGCCCTAGGGAGGGCTCATGCTCCCGCCATTGCTCTGCCGGTTCCCAGGAGGGCAGGGGGCCACACCGCATGGCCCTTACATCCATCTGCCCGCCGCCACCCACTCACTCACCAAGTCCTGCTTGTGAACTAGCCACCATGTGCCAGGTACCATGTGTGGAAGAATAAATGTGCCCAGGAGAGCCTGGGGGCCCCTTTCTCGCAGAGCTTATAGCTCTTACAGCTCTGGGTTTGTTGTCTCTGCTTTCTCGGTCATCCCCACTGAAGTGAGTCTGTTGAGGACAAAGACTTTGAGTCTCTGCATCCCCAGGGCCCAGCAGAGGGCCTGGCACACGGCCAACCCCTAAGAAATGGTGCTGAGTGACGTGCACACAAGAGTGGAGGCCCCTTCTCCGCACGCTATCCATTGGAGTTCTGATGACAGAGGACCTGCCTCCCGGCTGCTCACTGCTCCAGACCCCTTTCATCTAGACCGCCCTCTCTCGGGTGGCCTCTTACACTGGTCCTCTGGTTACTGTGGCCCAGTTGCAGATGATCCCTGCCTTTCTAGGGAACACTCCCCTGGAAAGGACAGCAGACCAGGGCTCCAAGGTGCCAAGTGGCCCCCTACCTCCTGGCCCTGCAGAAGGAGGGTGACAGGCTGCCCAGGTCTGGGGTGGGGGGGAGGCCAGCAGTTAGAGTAGAACTGTCCAAACACACTCAGGTCAAACCCCACCAAGGCCTCCTGGGAAGGATTCACTTTCCCAGAAGGAGGAGAGTGGCCTGGTTGACCTGATGCTTATAAGCGGGAGGCCTGGACCAAAGGTTAGGAGGTGTGGATTCAGTCCAGGCTGCACTGCCAGGTTACTATGTCCCTGGCAAGCTGTTGTCCCAGTCTGGCCTCTGTTTCCTCATCTGTCACTGGGGTCAATACCACCTAGCAGGGACTGAGCGGGCTCTGTGGAACACAAATCAGGCCAAGCGTGAGGCCAGACCAGGAGGAACTCTGAGAGTGGACCTCCCAGCAGGTGTGTGTGATTTCTCTGTGGACAGAGGAACTTCAGCTGATGCCCAGGCCAGGGGCCACCTTAGCAGTAAGTGATGTTTACCTGGTTTAAACCATTTACAAAGACCACCTCACTGGAACCTCACAAAAGCTCTACGTGGCTGGCACTGTCCCCATTTTAGAAATGGGAAACCAGAGGCACAGGATGTTAAGGAAGCCTCTGCATCAGACACCTGAGTGTCAGGGCAGCAAGTGGATCCAGGCAGTCTCACTCCGGAGCCTGGACTCTAGGCCCCGCCACGTTGTTCTTCTCCCTCGATCCTGTGCCCCTTAGCCTGCCAACAATGAAGAAGGCCCAGATAGGGGGCCGGGGCCAGTGTGAACCCACCAGGAAGAAGGCAGGTCATCGCTGGTGGCTGGGGGTCACAGAAGCACAGGTAGGGACCCAGGTTCTGGTCTTGGCTCTGCCACAAACTGACCTGGGGGCCCTGTAGAGATGATAGCTCTCCAGGCCTCCATGTCCTCACCTCTGAGAGGTGATGGATCTGTTAGTTCTACTAAAGCACCTTGCCAGTGTCGGGCTTGGATGTCGGGCTCATCATCATCAGTGGGCGAGAGGGCCTCCACCTCCACTCCAGCTCTCCCACCCCCTACTGCTAACATTTCTGAATTCTATGCAGCACACCTGGCTTCAGGAGAAACACGAACATATGCCAGAATGTCTGATAATCGAAATAAACCAAAACAGCTAGTTGTTTCTTGCTTTCCAAAGCAATGAACCATGAGCTGTTAGGGAAGCTTTGAGGGGATGAAGGCTTCCAATTCTGTCTAGAGGGCTAAGGGACCTATGATGGGACAGCAACAAGACTGGGGTAGAGATGGCCAGAGAGAGGACCAGAGTGGGCTCATCTCTTAGCCACATGGCTGCAGCTGCAGACAGACTGGCAGACATGCCACAGCTGCTGGGGCCTTGGGGTGGGGTACTGAGCCCCGAGCCCTTCAGTCGAGTTGGGCAGAGATGCCCAAGATGTGATGATGGAATTCACAGCTGCCCAAGGGCTGCCAGGGGTACTGGCATACAGGTCCTATCAAAAGCATGCAGAGGAACCTATTTTAGGGAGGGTTACCCTGGGTGCACATGCACACACACACACCTCTGAATGCAGAACCTGCACTGGCTGCCTGATTCTTACTCCATGAAGGTTAAAATTCTCTACAACCCACTACTGCTTGTTCTGTGCAAAGCACCCACTCTCTCTTCCAACTAGGTTGGCATCTGTGCCCACATACCTCTCAGGCTCTTTCCTGCATACTCAGGTCCTGTCCTGGTCCTCCATCATCAACCCAACATCTCTGCTCTGACATTCTTGGCATAGCCTTTTCAGGCAGGGCTCTGATTCCACATACACACCCTCCTAGAGTTGCTTACAAGCAAAACGCTGCACGGAGAGGTATGTAGCACAGCGGTGAAGACCACAGGCAAAGGAGGCCGACCAGGCTCAAGCCTTAGGAAGACAAGCACGTAGCTCAAAGCCTCAGTTCCTGCATCAGGAAAATGGGGATCGCAACAGTACCCCCCCCAAGGTAGAGGCGAAGGCATTTAAAGCACCAGGCCGGGTACTCTAGGGATCGTTATTTCTGAGAAGCCCTGGGATGCCCCCTAGAATGTGGAAGTGGATAGCAGTTGAGGCCTGGCGACTGTAGACAAACTAAACCAGACCCAGCTCAGGGGCCAAGACCCTCCACCGCTGCAGAGGTGCACTGGAACCAGAGGTGAGATGAGGTGCAGGCCAAACCCCAGGGCTCAGGGAGCAGCCAGGAATGACTGAGCACCCAGCCTGAACATATGGGGACTCGTCCCTGGAAACCTGTCACAAGGTGGATGTGTATTGCCGGGGCTACAGCTCTGGTCAAGGGACTGAATTAAAGCCTTTACACGAGAGGAAGGGTGGGGTTCCAACTGCCTGCTGAGTAACCGACATTTAGGGGAAGGATGAATAAGGAGCTGGCACTTGGCGGGCTGCTTATTTTGGCCTGGGCAGTGGGGAATGGTGGGGGGAGGGGGGCAGGCCTGGAGGTGGCCTGAGCCCTGGGTGGCAGGGCTCCATCCCTCTGGCTCACAGACGTGCCCATTTGGACAGCCCCCACTGACCGTTAGGGCAAGTGTTCTTGCTGCCAGGATTTAGGAGGTTTGGAAGCCTTTAGGAGCAGGGGGCCAGGAACTAGTGGTGGCTCACACTCACTGGCTTGGGCAGCCTGCTCCAGGGAATACCTGAGTCCATAGACAGGCTGTCCAGGCCAGTGATGGCCTGGGGAGGTGGGGGAGGCAGGCTTTCTGAAATGCAATGAGAAAGATCCAGAAAAACCTCACTGGGCCAGAGCTAATCAGAGAGGCTAATGGTGCAGGGGCCGGAGCCACTCCTTGGTTGCTGTGACTCTGCACCCTCGGCCAGACTAACAGACACCTGGAGCAGAGGCCTCTGAGCAGAACAACACACGCACAGCAGAAGCTGTGTGCACACAGCCCCTTGGGAGCAGGGAGCGCAGGGAGCATAGCATGGGACGGGGATCTCTGTGGGGTCCCCAGAGGAACCCAGGGCTTCTAGGGGGAGAGGGAGCTTTGGGGATCTGGCCTTAAGACTGTTCTCCCCAGTCTCTTCCCAAAAGTTGTCAAAGCCTGAGATCCACACCCCAAGGGAATTTCCCCACCTAATGTTAGCCCCACGTCGCGCCAGCAGGGACAGGCCTGGGCTGGGAGGTGAGCTTGTGGGTCAGCCTCAGTGAGACAGGATCCCAAGGAAAGGGGCTGGCACATGGTCCAGCTCACTTCAGGGTTCTCATGGTTTTAGGGAGAAGAGTAGGAAAGCTGCTTCCAAGAGGACTTGGATTCACTTCTGGGGCCAGGGATGGGGTGGGCACCAATCCCTGGGGACCCCAGAGGCAGCCACCTCCCCGCACCTGCTCCATTACCCACCCGACCCTCCTGCCCTGAACCAGCAGGCCCTTACCTTCCCCAGTCTTGGAGGTGTTGATGTCTGAGTCATCCCGAGTACCATTCTGGGCCTCCAGGTAGGTGGCAGGGACCCAGCCCTGCTCCTCAGAGGTGCTCACGAACCACCAGCCTGCAGAGGGGACAAGAGAGAACAGGGCCATGAGAGCCCAGTGGGATGGCAGAGGCAGGCTGGGGGCCTGGAAGGGGGAAGGAGCAGCGTGGAGGGCACAGAGCCAGAGAGCCTGCCACCTGGCAAATGCCCGGCCCACCTCCAGCCTCGAGGGGCCTGCGCCTCACTAAGGAAGAAGAGATCGACACGCTCCCTGAGAAGAGGCCCGAAGGACTGCTATCCAAACTTACACAAATGTTTGATGAAAAAATTAAAAAATGAAATTGAAACAGTATGTCCAATGTGTGAAAGTCACCTTGCAAGAAAGGCCAAGGGAGCTCTGGCCAAACAGAGACTCTTGAGGGTCTTTCAACGGACCATTAGGACCACTGGTTTGGCCTGGAGTTTGGCCACTCTCTCTGCTTTCAAAGGCATCTGGGCTTCGATGCCTCACAGTTACCTTTCAGTGGTCACTGTTCTGCTTTCCCCAGCACAGGTCAGTGGTATTTTCACGTCAGTGATACTCACAGCTGCCTTTTAAGTGTGCTGACACTTTTAAGTGGGCATTGCACACACTCGAGTGACCCTTGATGGTCATGGCCAAATAATAAAGGCTCATTCATTGTCTGTCTTGTTCATTGGTTCATTAATTCATCATTCAAACAAACGCTAACTGAGCAAAGTACTCCGAGCAACCGGGTCTTGGGACTGTGCTAACTGCTTCAGTCCCTTCCTAGAACATACTTTTTACAGGATCTTGTCTTCGCCCCCATCCCATCCCAATCCTTCTCTGCCTCCCAAAGCAATTTGGCACCGATTCTCTCTTCCATCCATGACAGAGCTCCAAATCTGCACTGTTCTCTGTCAAGAGACCACAGGGCTTCTCCCTGGGCATCACTGAGGCCACGTCACTGCCCACTGGCAGCAGGTGGCTGCCTGAGGAGGGGGCACACTGGGTGGGGGGCTCCCAGGTACTCCCAGCTGGGCTTAGCACTGGGAGGTGGAGGAGGCTGCCTGAGGGCTTCTTTGACGACAACGGAGAAAGACAGAGGAAAATAGTCTCACCACTGCACGGGACCTCAGAACCCAGGGTCATCTCTTAGGTCTTCAACTGGGTCCCCACTGCCCTGTGTGACAAGCCTGGGATAGCAAATAGCCTGTCATCTAGTCTTGAATGCATACTGAGCCCCACCCTTTCCAGGGAGTTCTACAGCTCTCTGCTTGTGGCTCTTCAAAGCCCATGAAATGCCATAACATCTGTATGATACCTCAACGATGGATACATGTCATTATAGGCTTGTCCATACCCATAGAATGTACAGCACCAAGACTGAACCCGAATGTAAACTATGAACTCTGGGATTAGGATATGTCAGTGTAGGTTCATCAATAGTGTAACAAATATACTACTCTCATGGGGGATGTTGATAATGCGGGAGGCTGTGTATATGTGGGGGCAGGGGGTACATGGGAAACCTCTGTAGTTTCCACTCAGTTTTGCTGTGAACCTGAAACTGCTCTAAAATACAAGTCTTAAAGAAAAAGAAAAGAAAAGAAAAAGCCCTGGACATGAGGTCCAAACTCTTGAGGCCCAGGCCCATTGGGCTCAGAGGCCTTAGCTGGGTCATTGCCCCTCTGGAACCTGGGGTGGATGCCTTTCTTCCTTCCCTCTGCCAGATTCAGGTAAATTCCCTGTCTTTCTTGAGTGGGATGAGTGTGGGCCACCTTCATCACACCTATAGCCACTTGCACATTCTGGGCCTACCATGCACGGGGCCACCGAGTGGGCTGCCTGGAGTAGCACCACCATCCTTCCGGAGGCCCAGGCCATAATGGTGTGGCCGCTCAAGAGGCTGTGGCTGATGGAGGCCCCAAAGAAGCCAGAAGGCATGGTTTTGCAGGAGTCTCTGCCTGAGACGTCTTTTCCCCTCTCCCAGCCTCTAGGGGAGCACTCTCAGGGACCTCAACAGCCTCTTCCAAGAAGCCCCAGCTCCAGGTATTCTTCCACAGAGCCTAACTGGAGGTCACAGGACAGGGATTCTCATCTCATAGGGTTTCCTGCCCTGTGGCTCTGCCTCTTGACCATAGGGATGTGCATGTCCAGCCAATCATCTTCTGACTGGTCTGTCATCTGCCAAGACACCGTAATGGTTCAGGGGATTTTTCAGGAACAGACGTGGGAATCACAGGAGTATGTGGGAAGAGACGGCCTGAGAGTTAAGTCAACAAAGTAGCAGCAAAGTCAAGAGATGGAGAAAGTCTGTCCTGATTAACATCATTTGAGCTCCAGGTTCCAGGTGTGCTAAAAGCTAGACCACCCCGTTGGACTTCCTAATAACAACTAGCCAATGACTTTCCTGTGCTGTTTGACTCAGCCAGAGCAGTTTCAATCACTGGGACTGAGAAAGTCCGCATAATACCATCCCTGCCCAGCAATCACCAAGGTTCATGATGGAAGGTCCACCATCACGAGTCAAGTTGCAGAATAAACCTCAAGTCCACTGGGCACCCAATACCACAGCCCTCAGCGGGTGAGGATGGAGCCCTTCACATCACTCTGAGTAAGCAGTCCTTCCCTATATCCCTCCTCCCCAGGATAACCTCCAAGAGCCCCCAATAGCAGTCGCCACAATCCCCAACTTGGAGTCACTTTTGGGAGGGTCTTGAAGGCTGAGGCTCTCATATGACTCCCCAGGTCCAGGTCCCAATACCAAAAGCACACAGGTGTTGGCTCCCACATCTCATCCAGACCCTCCCCAAAGTGACCACCCCAGTTTCACCCCTCAAAGCCAAGCCAAGTCCCAGTAGGCCAAGGAAGTACCCTGAAGGCCTGGCCTCAAAGGGGAGCCTTTGTCCCCAGGAGAGAGGGGTCCCTAGGCTGGAGCCAGGGATCTTACTGTCATCAGACAAAACGGGATGTGCCTCAAGGAATAGTGGAGCTGAGAAGCATGTGACTTGTTAAGGATTTGCCATGATCCCTCTATGCCCAGCCCCTCCCAGCCTCTTTTTCTACACCAAGGTGTGCCCACTGCCCCTCCACCCTCTGAAACAACCTACTTTCTCTCTGTCTCCACTGGGAGAATATTCCTGCCTCGCCTTGTATGAGCCCTTGGCTTCCCAGGAAAGTAAGCTACTTGGTGGTCTCCTGGATGGCTGGGGTCACTGTCTTCTAAGCCTTCTCTCTACTTCTGGAATTTGGGCTTCAAAGTCATCCTCAGCAGAGGTGAAGGAGGCAAGCCCCTCCAAGGGCTCCAGGCGGATTTTCTCCATCGGTCCCATCCAAACTTGTCTGTGTTCACATCTGCTGTGAAGTGAGTTCACCAGCCTGCTGACCTCTTGCTCTCCTCCTCTCCCCCCATGGTCATCTCAGGGACCAGCCCCCTGCGTGGACCTTTCTCCTTGGCTCCAAAGGCCTCATGATTCCAGTATTCAGGTCTCTTCTCCACTGGTGGCACCTCTCCCCTCCCTCCTACTACACTCTTTGAGAACACTTCCTTGTACATTCTGCTCCCTCATGGATCTAGACTTGTCTGCCCAGGGAAACTCCTGGGGGCAGGCCTGCCCTCCTCCTACGTCTGCTGCATAGGCCTAACACTCAGGAGTAGCTGGGCAGAGACTTGCTGAGAGGCCAAATGTGTGGCTGAGGTGCCTACTGGGCAGGGTGGCGTGATGCTATGCACCTCACACCACCTAGGTACCCCATGGATGTGCCAGGGCTTTCTATGAGTCCTTTCTACCTCAAAATCTCCACTGCACCAGAAGCACTAGGGAATCTGGGCCACATTATCAGCTGACCATGATCATCTCCTCACCCCAGGGCAGCAACTTAGGATCCTATGCTCCTGCTGTACCCCTAAGACTTGGGGTGAGACCTTCATCGTCTTCATGGCTTGGTGGTCCCTGCCCACCTTGCCTGAGAACATTGGCTTGGGCTTCCACTGCAGCCTTGAAATGTGCAGAGCTGGGCTGTATGGGTTCAAGCCTCAGGTCCTTCCTGTCTCAGGTCCTGCAAAGAAGAGCTTGCTGCTGTCTTGGCTGTGGGCACCTCCACAGTGCCAGAAGAAGAATATAATTCAGTCAGGCTGCCTGACAGGCCAGGGCCCAGAAAGAACAGCAGTGTCACCCATCACACACAGCCAGCCCTGCTCGGTGGGCCCCAATAACAACCCACTTCACAATGGCCCAGGGGCTGAGGGGAGGAGAAAGCAACACTGGGGTGGCCTGGATAGCATCTCCAGCTCCGGGCAGGGAAGGGGGAGCCCCAGATCCAAGAGGGAAAAGCTCAGGCCCAGGAGCGAGACCCTCCCTCTTTCCAGGTTGAGCATAATCTTCAGTGAAGCGGCCAATGGGGCCCATCTGTTTGGCCAATTTCTAAGCCCTCTCAAATTGATTCTAACTGGGGCTTCCCAATGCTGGCACTGGGGGAGGGACGGAAGTAGAGCTAGAAATTGAGAGTGAGACACAAATTGAGACAGAGACAGAGTGAGAGAGAGACAGAAAGAGAGGCAGACCGAGAGAGACAGAGTCAGAGATGGAGACAGAGAATGCAGATGGGAGGACCTGGGAGAGGGGCCAGGAGAGGGGCTGGGGGCTTTAGCCCCTCTGGGAAGGGGCTGAGCCTGGCCGAGAGTGGCAGGAAGTGACAGGCACTCCCAGGCCACCGCTGTCCCCAGGGTGACCAGGCCACAATGGCCTCCTTAATGAGAGGATAATGAGCTCATTAGGGCCAGAGGAGGCCAGCTGCACACAATTAGGATGTTAATAAAGTCTTCCAAGGTCTCAACTCAGCCTAGGATAAAAGTTGGTGGGGGAGGGGGACCCCGCTCCTTCCTCTTCCTCTGAAACTTCTCCATCCTTCCCTGTATCGTCCTCCATGAGGCCTTCCCTGACTCTCCCCATGCTCCCAATCCTGCTGGCCCCAGGATTCAGCCCACAGGCTCCTCTTAGCTTCCTATTCCAAGACAGACCTCAGTTTGGACCATGGCTTCACCAAGTGCTGGCTGTGTGACCTGGAGCAGGTC